CCTAGGTATAAGACATAAGTATACGCCATTGCGAATGTTGTAACGGTTCTCAAATCAACGTTTAGTTCTATTCATGATTGTTGTTTAGGTAAGCATTTGGGGTATTCAGAAGTTAATTCCAGTAGATAAAAAGAACACTTTTTAACAACTAGTTGGTTATGTTGCTTCGCATGATGCAGCTCAGCTATCTCATTTATTTTATTTGCTAAGTTGCGTTTTTAATTGCTTATGCCCATATTTCTGACTTTGCAAGCTGCAAATGTCAAAGGCGGTAAAAAGTCGTCTTTTTCAGAAAACAGCTGCCATCGCTCCTAATTCCTTAAAATAGGTAAAATTTACCAACTAGCCGCCTACCTTCCCACTCGGCTCTCGGCAGTAGGTAGCTGAAAAATGCTGTGTTGAGTAAGTTACAACTTTATGTATACGTCTCCATTATCGAATGGGTGGGAAATGACTGAAGGTGTCCGGCGATTTACCCGCCCCGTGCTGGATGGGGGGCGGGGGGGGGGGGAAGGAGCGCATTTTTACGCCCATTCAATTTTTTATGACACCTCTTGAGGGATGGTGCCTCCCAAGACAGTTTGTCCGCACCACTCTGTTGAGCGTGGTGGCGCCTCTGTAATCATCGTTCATATCGACAGGAATTAGGGAAGGTTTGGAGGAAACCGATAGCCAATGGGAAACCTGCAACCGAATTTACTTCCATTCAAGGGCGGCGGAAGGGGGCTGCAGGGTATGCAACTGCACCCCCATCCAAAATATGGGGATGCAAACGTATCTTTTTTTACCCCCAAAATCCGTGAAAGGGGCCCGTCGAGCCATTCAGTACAGTTCCTCCTAAAAACTAATGATCGGGAAACGAAAATCGATATAGGATCACAGGAGGCCCAAGTTCCGTCAGGAGAGCTCCATGATCGACTCTGGGGTCCCCATGCCGGCTTTAGGACCCAAGCCACGTTTTGTGCCCCATGACGGCCTCCAAGGGCCCTCACGATGACCTCTATGACCCCTAGGGCCTTCACTAGCGACCTCTGCCCCCCTTCCCCGACGACCTTTGAGGGTCCTGCTCCTGACGACGACAGCTGAGTGCCTCCACGGAGGCTCCAGTGGCCACACTTCGAGGGCCCCACAACGGTCTCTGGGGCCCCCACGACAGCTCTAAACGTGGTCCACGACAGGACCAAACGTAGGTCCAGGGGCCCACTCCCTTGGTTCTAAGAGCCTTGCGACGGCTTTTGTGTATAGGTAATGGCTAATGTTTTTCGCAAACTTCGGCTTGTCACAATCATTGATTAAATTTAAAAAAGTGAGGGGCCTTCCTGCGATTTGGAGGGCCCCTGGAGACAATTTTGCACCCCATCTAAAACGTCTCCCGCCGACACTGTTTGATGTTTCAATGGTTTGTTTCGGCCACTTTGGTCCATCGATTGCTTCAAAGGTACGCAAAATACTTTAAGAAATGAATGTTTCGTGTGCAACATTGTAAATGTAATCAATATTATAATCGATTGCGCAAATTCGGAGAACGGGCCCGTCTGCCACATTGGTCTGCTCTTTAGTAAGTTTGTCTGTGTTTTATGCAAGTGATTCATAGAAAGCGCTATTTTTGTAGCTTGCACACCATTTTTGTCTACGTCAACAAATATCGTCCCTTGTGGGCGGAACTTGTATGGTTTGCAAGGCTATATAAACCAGGTAGAACGCTCCGGGAAAAAAGTTGGAAACAATAAATTAGTTGCAGCATTCCCTGATGACGCGAATGTGGGTCAGCGGCCGGCGGCCGGCGGCCGCTAACACTGTATGAGGATGAGTGCACGGAACTTTTGCTTGTTGGAGATTGCGCTAGGCAGTTTAAAGGGACCCTCCCACCTTAACATTAGTTTTGAGTTGAGATAGCCAAGTTTGCGGCCAGGCTCAGAAACCACCATTTATCCTGGTCGCAACCCCCGCAGCTTTATGGTGTTCAAGAAATTTCTTCCCTTTACTTGCAGGGTGGGACCAGCGTGGTCCCTATCTCTTAACCATTACGGGAATCTGATGACGTCATCAGGCTTTCGAACGTCCGTTAAATGTTTGACTAAAACGTTTTGTAGCACGCGGTGGTATATGCTGCTTTGCGCGCAACAAATGCCGCACTTTCAAATAAAGTCGCTAGGAACAGCGGAGATCCCAAAAAGTAAACAAAGGTAAAAGTCTAATATCTTGAAAACCGGTGAATATTTTTCGATGAAATTTGGTAGATATTCGTTTTTGCTCTTTCTGAACCGAGCGACATCATTTTCATGCCAATTCATTAACTTTTTTGAAGGTGGGAGGGTCCCTTTAATGTTAATGTTAGGTTATGTTTCGAAAGTAAATTGAACGACGCTTCGAACGCCGTCAATGAATTTTTGATGCGACGCGTATTTGTTTAGTTTGAGCCGGCGAACTTTTACCTTCCGACCGCGCGGGGAGGCGATATGGTGCCACACTGACGGTTTTTACGATAGCTCAAAATTCTTTTGAGCTAAAGAGCTGAAATTTGACTCGTCCAATCTTTTGATCAAGCTGGATCTTCTGGTACAGGTCGCATTTTTAAAGTAGGTACGTCAGGTTGTTGACCTATGTTGTCGCTCGTGAGCCTCTGCACAGTCCGAAAACAATGCAATTTCTGAACACTCAGTGCCAAGAAATCCTTCACAGAAAGATGACACTTGGCAGAAAAAAGAGCTGTCGGTTTCTTATCGTTCGTATGTATCGTGTTTTCACAAGAGTTTAGTAAGGTCAGGTCCGTCACGTGACGTCCCCTCATAACTCAATAGGTTTACTTTCATAGAAGCGTTTATCAATCGCCAGAAATCTTAGCCAATCCCATGTGGACACTGGATCCATACCCACATGGGGCCCTCCTGACTGGCCACTCCCTCTGAAATCCACAAAGCATTGGGCTGCGGCCACGGTTATGTATTAATGCTTTTCACTGACAGAAATACAACAACTTCAACCACCACAGTGCACGCCGCCACAACAGTCCGACCCACGTCCCTGATATCGACTAGCACCCGGCCGGATGCACATACGCGGAGCCAATCAGTCCGAATGTGACCTGAAGCTTACTATTGCTGTGTCGCATGGCGCATGGTACAGGACGATTCCTAGCAGCTGTCGGCTTGAGTGGAGAAACAGCCGTTGCGACACACCGCGCCGGCGACAGAGCTCAGCAGGACTGGTTTGAGGCTAAAGCCGGAGGTAAGGGCGGATACAGGCACATACATTGCAGGACAAATAACAGGATGTCAGTTAGGGATATAATTCAAGACGAATGATTCAAGACGGACTGAAATAATGCACATTCTGCTCAGAGCTCATTTAGATACCAACTTCAAACTTGACATTTATAGCACCACGGAAACAATTGGCACACAGGAAAGAAACAAAAGATGAGGTGTTTTTAACTCAAGGAGGTAAAAAGAGGTTGCATATGATGGAACAGCCCGAAGTGCAGACAAGCACATATTTTTGGTAATAGCTATCAGCTGTCCTACTTCTCTTCTCCCTTCACCAACTACTGGACACATTTGAAGCATCATATTAGCACCAATGTCCATAACAAAAGCTTGCAAGTAGTTTTATGAAGCCAAGGGAAATATGCCTACATCATGCATGTAAGCTCAAAATGCATTACAAAGGAAGGTTATCTAAAGAGAATAGTGGGCAAAAGCATTTCATAGTTGAATTATTCAAAACTGCACACAGGGCAAACATAAAGCAGCAAGTGTAGTGTTCTGTTATGCTTAAAAATAGTCCAAAACAAAATACAATCTTTTCTTGTTTGAATTGGTTGTTCTTCTATGCCACTTCATCCATATCTTGATTACAGATGGGCTGTTACTGTAGGCTGATGAAGTGACACTTGATTGTCTTTACTCTTTGTGCGAGTTTCAGTTGCAGCCTCCTAGGTACTGCACTGGAAAGCAGATTGAATTGAATGCCTCTGAAAGATAGGAATATAGGCAAAGTTAGCTGTAGTAGTGTCAATGATAATAGACATGACATTTTTGTCTTTTGACATACATTTGTTGAAGTACAAAAAGATACAAAATAAATTGGTTTGTTTCAAGACACCCACACTGCACAAAGCCGCACAGACATTACACAAGCATATGAAATTGGTACACATAAAACTTGATGATTAAAAAGGTCAAAACTAGCAACAATAATTAATTGAAGTAAAAGTTACAATCACAATCATTTGATTTAAAATGACTTGACAAAGTCACAAGACGCAACACTCCTATTCACTTAAGAAAAGTGTTTATGCTTTCATTATCCTCCACATATCAACCAGCTTGATACCAGGCTGTGCAATAGTGGGTACATAACCCCATGTTTCCATTTTATTAGAGCAAGTGGTGTTACAACAACAATACTAATGTCAAACCCACATCTGCAACCCGTACTGAAGTTTCAATCACCTTACAAGAACACCTTCTGGCAGTTTGATGGGCAGAATGGTCATAACTTCTTTCTCCTCATATTCCACACAAATTATCTCTTATACAGATACAGTTTAGACTTGGTCATGGCAAGCATTTTCGAGAAAAAATATGATAAAAGTCCAAGACAAACGTCCAGAGAAACAACACCAACATAAAACACCGACTATGTAGCACTAATACTGTCAAACTCATAAAAATATATACATGAGTCGATCAGAAATTCACTGTAGATTTCGAAAATGGTGTCAAATGCCACTCAAATATCCCCATTCGCATGTACGAAGCAATATAACACTGGCCTTCAGTTCCGCGTGCCATTCTCCATAGGCCACTGTGTATTAAATAACGCGTTCACTGATCGCAAAAAAATGAGACCCACATATGACGCGTTTGCTACCAGCCAATCAGCGCTCGAGATGCCGAGCGCTGATTGGTGGAGAGGGCCGTCGTCAGCAGTCCATTACATGTTGTTTTCCTTGAACATATACGTGAGCAGCTGATGCTGCTCACGGGTTGTTTCCATTTTTCGTAATGCTGAAGGCACGGGAGCGAACCCCCCTGATGGTTTGTTTCGTGAATTACTGCTTTTACTTTTATTTTTTAAGATTGTTTGATGTGTTTGTAAGTCCATGACATCCTTGATCCGTGGATGAATGTGACGGGAGGTAGAGACTGGGGAGGGTTTTATTGAAAGTAGCAAGAAACAGGACTGCTGAGTTCCATGGATTTTATGGATACAGCTCCGTTTCTGACGAGCTGTATGATTTTGTGTAAAACAACACATTTACATTGACAGTATGTTGGGATACACAGCCCAAATTGATGATGGACACAATGCAGACACACTTTTCTGGTTTGTAACCTTTATATGTAGTTACTGCCAGGATTAGTTCTAGCATTGAAGAACTGGCGTGTCTTGTGCTTCCGGGTTCCTCTTCTCAGTCTTCTCCCTCCCTACACCCGTCCTGTAAGGCTGGGAAGTGGAGGAACCCCACAAGGTGAGTAAACAAGGTGAGAGTGCTGGCTGCCAGTTGCCAATTGCCAGTTTTCAACGATTTTTTAAGTAAGTAGGTAGGTACCTACCAAAGAACCAACTGTTGCAATACCAAATTAACATGTCAAACATAACTGTGAATATCTTACCTTACCTTACCTTACCAGGTACAGGAATTTAGATGGCCAAACTTGGTCTGTTTGGGTCCTGATCTCATCGAGCCAGGGGCGGATCCAAGGGGGGGGTCACATGGGTCATGGCCCCCCCTTGAGGCCCGGGGCCCAAAGAACTGCCAGGGGCACCACCGGCCTATCAGGGGTATCACAGTCCTGACAGGGGCACCACAGGACCGCCAGTGGCACCACAGGCCTAGCAGGGACACCACGGGCCTGGTGCCCCTGGGCCCTGACAGGACTGTAACGCCCCTGACAAGCCTGAAGTGTCCCCGGTAGGCACGTGGTGCCCCTGACAGGCCTGAGGCGCCCCTGCAAGGGCGGTGGTGCCCCTGGCAGGCCTGTGGTGTCCATGGCAGGCCTGTGGTGCCCTTGCTAGGCCTCTGGTGCCCCTGACAGGCTTGTAATGCCCCTGGAAGGACTGTGGTGCCCCTGGGCCCTGACAAGCCTGAGGTGCCCCTGACAGGCCAGTGGTGCCCTTGCTAGGCCTGTGGTGCCCCTGGCAGGCCTCTGGTGCCCCTGACAGGCTTGCGGTGCCCTTGGAAGGACTGTGGTGTCCCTGGGCGCTGACAAGCCTGAGGTGCCCCTGACAGGCCCGTGGTGCCCTTGTTAGGCCTGTGGTGCCCCTGGCAGGCCTCTGGTGCCCTTGCTAGGCCGCTGGTGCCCCTGGCAGGCCTCTGGTGCCCTTGCTAGGCCGCTGGTACCCCTGCGCCCGGAGAGGACTGGTGCCCCTGAAAAGTCTGAAGTGCCCCTCGGCAGGCCCGTGGTGCCCCTGACAGGCCCAAGGTGCCCCTGCGAGGCCGGTGGTGCCCCTGGCAGGTCTGTGGCGCCCCTGGCAGACCTGTGTTGACTGGTGCCCCTGCTAGGTCGCTGGTGCCCCTCACAGACCTGTGGTGCCCCTGGGCCTTGACAAGCCTGAGATGCCTGGCTATGACAGGCTCGTGGTGCCCCTGATAGACCAGTGGTGCCCTTGCTAGGCCTGTAGTGCCCCTGGCAGGCCTCTGGTGCCCCTGCTACCCCTGCGCCCGGAGAGGACTATGGTGCCCCTGAAAAGCCTGAAGTGCCTCTCGACAGGCCCGTGGTGCCCCTGGCCCCTGACAGGCCCAAGTTACCCCTGCGAGGTCGGTGGTGCTCCTGGCAGACCTCTGGTGCCCCTTGCAGGTCTGTGGTGCCCCTGGCAGGCCTGTGTTGACTGGTGCCCCTGCTAGGCCGCTGGTGCCCCTCACAGGCCTGCGGTGCCCCTGGAAGGACTGTGGTGCCCCTGCCCCTAGGGGTGCTCATGGGCCCAACAGGTCCGTTGTGCCCCTGACAGGCCTGTCGTGTATACTTGCTAGACCTGTGGTGCCCCACTTCCTGGCAGGCCTGTGGTGCCCCTGGCGGGCCTGTGGCGCCCCTACAAGGCCGTAGGTGCCCCTGAAAGGTTTGTGGTGTCCCTGGAAGGACTTTGGTGCCCCTGACAAGCCTGAAGTGTCAAGGACAGACCCTTTAGACGCCAGGGTCAAGTTCGTCGGACTGACAACGATTTGCTTACCTGATAACGTTCCTGGTAAGTACTAAGTACTCACTACTCAGCGTCCACAACATATATACACATAGCATCTATGCACATAGCACATTCATATATAGCTTACAATTGGTAAATGTGGTTGTGGCTAAGAGTTAAGATACTGACTAAAAATAAAAAATAAAAAGAAAAAAACTGAAAATGGGGGCACCACCAAAATGAAGTGGACGAAATCCGTTGAGTTTTTAATTTTGGGTATAGGTAGGGGCACCACTTCGATTCATGACCCTCCCCTTGGAGTTTTCCTGGATCCGCCCCTGCATCGAGCTCCATGCATGAGGATAGACATAGGATGAGCTTAGTCTGGGATATCAAAGCAGGATGCAATATACATAAACATGTTTTATTACTTCTAGGAACTGACTGATAGCTGCAATTTGATAACTGAACAAACCTGATCAGGAAACTCAAATTGGGTCAAATTAAGGCTACATCATATCAAATTTGGTTTGGCTGGGTTAAGTGAGGTTAGGGCGTATATTATGAGCATTTAATATTTTGCGAACCTTCGCAAAAATGCTGAAATTGATATGATTTTCTATAAATTAAATTTGAAAAATTAATCTTAAATGTTGCTACCGTAATGTTTGGTTGCTAGGTAAGTACAAAGTTACTGACTTATGTTATTTTGATGTTTTTGCTGGAAAGGTATTAAGTGTGGCATGATAATAAATTTGAGGAAAATGCTGCAAAACTTGATTGATAAATGATAAGTGAAATGATGGGAATCATCAAATTGTCTTTCAAACAAGTCAGAATATGATCAAAATCTAGTACTTTAGTGTTTTCTTTTACTGTTTCTTTTACCTTTTCTTTTACTTTTAAAATACTTTTTAGTATTTTCAAGTTTTTTTCTGTGTACTTAATCTGAGATGGAACAGCTGATTCCAGGCATAAAAAGCTGTTTGGATTAGCATTAGGTATGCATCTGAAGTATTGCCATTATTGATTAGACATTGTAAGTGAGAATGGAGATCTAATAGGAAGAGATTTGTCTTGGGGTGGGCATGTGTGCACCGAGTCATTTGCTGTAAGTGAGAATGGAGATCTAATAGGAAGAGATTTGTCTTGGGGTGGGCATGTGTGCACCGAGTCATTTGCCATTTTTGAAATGTGTTTAGGACAAATGCAAATGCCTTTTTCAGGTTTTGAACATCTAGTCATTTTCTACAAGAAGACATGTCTAAACACTACAATCACAAAATGCAGTCGAACACAGCCCTGCCTCCATTGATTGAAGTGAAATCCAAGGTATTTATAGGATATCAATTCATCATTTTTCTTCACTTGTCAGTGACACACGTATTCTCTTATATAATTATATTTTTCTTTCACCTTCACTCCTGACCATTGCTTTCCAGCTTTTATGGAAATATGATTTTGAATGTTATATTTGAAGTATATTAGATGTGTTGTTCTTGATTATTAGATATTGCTGTTTCATTTCATCGCCTACCTTGGGCACTCTCCTGCTTGTCATTGTTCACAGCCCTCCCTCTAATTATCCCCCCCCCCCATTCCACCTTTCCCTGAACAGTTCGACGCCGAATTCCGGCGCTACAGCATAGAGCGCGGCAAGATGAAGAAATTCGATGAACTCTATCAGCTGGTTCAGCGGATCCATTTCCTCGAGGAGATCCCATTCACCATCAGCTACACAGACCCGCGCGACGGCTACCTGCTGCCCATCAACAACGACGACAACTTCGCCAAGTCGCTCGAGTGCGCCCGGCCCCTGCTGCGTATCATTCTTCAGAGGAAAGGTGCGGCGCGGTGCGAGACATGCATACAGGCTGGTGGAGGTAGCGCAGTGAGTGTGGAATGCTTGCTAGGCGGGATTGTGAAGCATAGAAATTTAGAAGCCAGTTTTATTTGGGAAAAATGTTGATTAAGTCTACAAGGCTTTTATATTTTTATTGAATCGGACAGTTGTAGTTCAGCATGCATTCAAAGATAGGCATTCATTTATTCAAACATGTTTTTTAGAGTAAACCAAACACAAGCTGCAAGTTTAGCATGAATCTATATCCTCCCCAGTCCCCCTGTCTCATGACAAGCCTGAAAGCCGTCTCGTGTCCGCCCACAGGAGCCCCGGGTGAGAGCGTCTGGGACATTAGTGGCGCCAACACGATGAAGCGGACCAAGTTTCTGCCGCAGCTGATCGGCTCGCCCAAAGTCAAGCCTCCCATCTCCTACCCGGAGGATTTCAGACAGGTAGAGTGGGATATGATGCATTGCAGAGACTTTGGCAGGAAAAATTTGCGTGTAAGCTAGCACATAGGGCATAGGAAATAGCATGTGTGCTGCGTGTATGCACCCATATTGTTTGTGACGGCCTGCCGCTATGCCGAATCTGTTGTTTGATGTTCGAATCGTTCGGCCGGTCTGATCTTTATCTGAACATTTCCGTCTGGCTCGTATCTGTTCCGATTGTCCGTTTCCGTCCCACTATGAATATCCCGGTTTCATTCACCGCTGGATTACTCGACTATCACATACCTGATATTTACCAGCGTCCTGTTCTTCTTCAATGGTAATATCCACCATTCCCACTTCCCATGCCCAAAAAAACGTTCAGCTTGTATTTCAGATGCCCTGCCACGTGTTCTAAATAAAGAAGTCCGGGTTCAAGTGGATTATCCGTTCATCTCTTCATGCATCCATTAAGCATGAGCTCTACAGGGCTGGGCAGATAAATTGGGACAAATTTCAACTTCCTCTAAAACGACTATTTTTTGAGTGATTAAGATAATTTTTGAACGTAAATATAGGCTAATGAATACTTTTCCATGTTATGCAGGTTGCGTTGTAATTTTGAATCGGCTGATCACAGAACGTGGGCTTAAGCAAGTGACTATCAACTTAGTCCGCGCCCACATGCATGCCAATACTCTAATTATGCTCCATCAAATGGCTGAAAGTAGTGTGTATCGAACAGACGTAAACGTTGGAGGAAGAGAAGATGTTGACTCATCCTTACATACTTATTGCATTGACACCGGCCGCTCCCCCGGTTTTCCAGGGGGGCTAAAAGGCAAAATTCAGTTAAATCAGAGGACCCTCGCGAAAACAGTGGCGCGAGTTTACAACGAAGGTAGCCGCGCTATGAGAAAGCGATATACCAGCACCTCAAACATGTACTCTTATGCATTGATGCATATCGACCTGTTAACATAGATGTTGAAGCAGCTGTGACGTTATAAAGATTGTTTCCTCTTGAAGGGCTTGGAGAAGCGAGCATGCACGTGCAGGTCTTTTTCGACGATGGTATCCCCATAACCGAACATATGAACAACCGCAAACACCATGAAACATCGCAACCAGCCCAGAAGACGTGATCTTAGTTCCAAAAAGCATGCAGCACACCTCGGTGATGGCATTCCACTCGGTGACTTCTGACGGCCACGTGGGGCCCCCTTATTTTACGGAATCTGGGGGGGTTCGCCCTTACAGCGTACCTAACCATTATTCCGGCAGTTCGAATCAACAAGATGGAAGAAGGCAACATCCTGCATGGAGTGATGCTCTTCGAGGAGTCAGCTCCCCGGCATACAGTAAATTAAATACAAAATCTCCTGAAACGGAGGATCCCGCAAACTGTACCCAAGGCTAAATGCCCCCTCCCTCATTAAACCTCAGCCCACACAAGTTCTGGTTGCTGAGGCGTTTTTGCGGCCGAGTCTAACGAACGTCCCCATGTGACTGTGGTGAGCCTCAGCAGTGCCAGTTGGCTACAATTACGAGCCATTTCAGACTGGAGATCTCGCCGCGCGTGCGGCCAGTCCAGGCACCGATAAGGACTGATGCAGGTGGACCACAGTGATCATATTTGATGATAAATGTGTAAAATTGGTGTGACAATATGTGATCCAAATTTGAAATGCCTACGTTTACAAATTTCTAAGCTACGGCGTTCTGAATGCAAATATGTATTTTGTCCCAATTTATCTGCCCAACCCTGTAGGTACATCTAGCTCTCTGTTCCCTTTTTCCTGTCTATCCCTCCGTTTCCTCTGTTTCTTGTTGTTTCTTCCAGTTCCTGTTTCCTCTGGTTCCCGCTCCGTTTCCTCAGTTTCCGTTCCGTTTCCGTTCTGTCTCCTCTGACGACAGTCCGTCGGTGTCGACAGGTGGCTCAGATTATAGACGTCGACACGGTGCCCGAGCGGTGCCGACGAGTACGGCTCCTCAAACACGGCTCGGAGAAACCACTGGGCTTCTACATCCGAGACGGCACCAGTCTCCGGGTCACGCCTACAGGGCTGGAGAAGGTCGGTGGGGAGAGGATATGGGAATGTTCAGAGGATTTATGGAAGATGAGATAGTTTGCGTGGGCCTAAGTGTGGATAGAGAGATAAGTTTTTCTTTTTGGCCTAAGGGGTGTTTATGGGATTGCTAATGTTTGGGATGTCAGAAGGTGTTTTTTTTTCAAATAAGGTTATTTGAAAGGTGGTAAGGATTGAGCTGTCTTCATGGCGATTGTCGATAGGATTCATGCGATACTTTTACTGATGAACGAATCCTAGATGACGCTTAAATAAAAGCAAAATGATATAGCCTTAGTTAAAACGACATGACCCGCTATTCAATTCTTCTTTCTTATGACTTCTTAACTTCAGTTCTTCATTCTTCTGACTTATGAATTCTGAGTTCTTACACGTTCTGATCGCTGCCCTGTGACCCCAGGTGCCCGGTATCTTCATCTCCCGCCTGGTGCCGGGCGGCCTGGCCGAGAGTACCGGTCTGCTGGCCGTCAACGATGAGGTCCTCGAGGTCAACGGCATCGAGGTGGCCGGCAAAACACTCGACCAGGTATGTGCTAAGCTTGTGTCGCGCCGGGACCGAGATGGAATCCGGTGGCCTGTCACTGATAAAATGTTTGATATTTTTTAAGTGAACGATATTTCAATTTGTCTTTAACTTTCGTTCTAGCCTGTTCGCAGTCACATTTTGAATTAGCGTCACTATTCAGGCTTCCTTAGCTTGCTCTCCTGATGAATGTACAGCCCTCAGCAGACTGCGTGGTAGGTATTCTTTATGCGACAAAAGCGATAATAACTCAAAGGCTATGCTATCAGTCGGTCGGAACTCACTGCAAATAGATGCACCATGCTCCACTCCTTCGATTAGGTCTATCACTAAACAAGGTAAACGCCTTGTGTGGCAACAAAATGCAAGTTTGTTTTGGGGGCAAATATAAACTTTTGGGTTTTGTTGCCGAACTAGATGGAAAATGAATACGGTGATGATGCCAATTTAAGGTGCGGAGTCTCGCGCGTCTTGCTGTCACGATTTCCGAGTGACCAATAGCACAGTATTCGCGTTATTCTCGTTTTTGTCAAAAAAAGAATACCTACCACGCAGTGATAGGTATTCTTTTTATTGGGGCTTTGGGCTGTACTTATACAAATGCAAACCACGTGAATCTTTTTTCATCGCTGCACACTGTCGTCCTTGACAGCCCCGGCCCCTGCCACGTTCTCTGTTATGCGTCTGTGACTCCATGCCTTCATCCTTGCATTGAACCGTGTCACATGCCTTGACCCTGCACCTTCCTCAGGTAACCGACATGATGGTGGCCAACTCTTCCAACCTGATCGTCACCGTCAAACCGGCCAACCAGCGCTACCCGCTGGAGGCGGAGCGGGGCAGCAGCGCGCGCACGTCCCAGCTGAGCCGTGTGTCGGCTCAGTCCGGCCGCTCCACACGCAGTTCCGACTCGGGAGGAGCCGGTCCGGAGGATCTGAGTGGCGGACTGCTGGCCGGCAGGAACGACGGCGTGCTGCATCTCTGAGAAGAGAAAGGGGAGGAAGGTTGAAGGGACGGACAGAGAAGTGGATGAGAGGGGAGAGAGGAGACGAGATAGAGGACAGTTGTTGCTGAGGGGGACGATGTGGGGTATGCACTCTGCGTGGGAGTGTGTGTGTGCGTGAACCATGCTTACTGAGTGTTTGTCCGAATGTATGACGCGAAGTGAGCAGGACGTGTGACTTAGCGGACTTTACCCGCGGCGTGATGAGATTTGTTGAGCTGAAGACGGGGTCGCGACTCTGACGCGGCCCCAGTGTGCGACTGCCCAGTCGACCCCAGCTCTCCTCCCGCCCAGCCCGTCTGGGTTGGGGACTGACATTGTTGATTGCCGAGCTTTTGGTGCCTCGGCCAGAGGGTGGCGGCTGCACGGTACACACATTCCTTCCCAGAGCTGTGGAGTGTACTGGGGTGCAAACTGCAGCTCTACTGGCCACCGGCGGTGATGTGGCGTGAATTCGGGTGTTAAACTGCAGCTCTACCGGCCACCGGTGGCTGTGGCGCATATTTGATGGAAACTGGCAGCTCCACTGACAAGCTGCAGTGGCGTGTATTCCGTGTTAAACTGCAGCTATTTTATCCCTCACGCGTTGGCGCGATAGAAGCAAGCCCTCCCCGGGCTACGAGCGGTGTAAACCTGCCACTCTAGTGTGGCGTCGCCTATACTTACACATAAAGCCGTCCTTATAAAGTGCTCGTTACATGCCCATATGTCCGCGGCCCTAGGGTCACCCTGTCTTCCGCATAAACGTATCAAAGTAGGAGAGGCAGCTAGCTCCCTTGTGATCCATGTACCGGGCCTACAGGGCCGTAAATTAGTATTGTTAGGAATATCCCGCTCGCGTCTGAGATTGTTACAGGCCTGCATTTAGACGGAGATGTTGATACCGGTTTATACCTGCGCGCGTTGGACGAAAGGAGAGCTTTACGAAGTCGTTCTCGGCAGCTAATTGAAGTAATCTTGACTGGTAGTGTGCGTAACCATGTATTAGCGCGATAGGACCGCCGCGCTGGGCTGTATTTCTCTCTCCAGAGTGCCCTTCCCTCTGCCTGTGCTGCGATTTTCGGGACCAAGCGGCGACACGGGACGGTGTTTTACCCTGCGACTGAGCTGCCGGACCGTCGGGCGGCGCCGCGAGACGATCGGTGTTTGTGATATGACAAGAAGCTGGTAGCTATTACGATCAACTGACGGTGACTTACCTAACATTCCCCAGCGCGCGCGACCGTGATTGTGTGGCCGATTGGACGCTTTTCCTGTAACGCGCGCGTGCCGTGTCCGCCCGGTAAACGGAGGAGATGATGGAGGATTACTGAGGTGTATTTATGGATGGTTTATACCGGGGACGGGAGGGACGCCGAGTGATGGACACAGGTCCGGAGCTGTCCCCGGTGTGAATGCACCGCTTCCAGCCACGGGTTGAGACGACGGAATGAAATACACTGCTGTTGACAATGCGCGACTGTATGTACATACATGCGAAACATGAGAGCTCGAACGGGTACGACCCTGGGTACGTAGGGCACTGCCCTTCGTGTTGAGCACGCTTCTGGCAAAAGGCGACATGAACTACGGCGATTGTCGGTTTGACACCAACTGTATACAAATACAACGTACCATTCACACAACCATTCCAGCCTGGGACACAACACGTGTATCACAATCTACACGATACTCCACTTGGAGCAGGACCAGTGCTAGCAAACTAGTCTTTGTACCATTGCGGACACCTTGAAAGCCCGGCATGGCTACTCAACAAATCCCCCTTCTCATGCACTTGTCCATCCTCGCCACACATACCTATTCTCACGCTTCCCCTATCATACATTCCACCCTCCCGATCCCTCCCCAGTCCCCAGTCTTCCTCTTTCCTCAGAAGTGAGCCGTGAACCGACTGATATCCATCAAATCATCAGCCAGCTCGTCGGTTTTGGCGCCAATTCTTCGCGCCACGTCGTTCCGCTCTGGCGCGGGCAGGTTGAGGTAGGAGAACACCAGGTCTCCGTCGAGCACGCCGCGCGCCGGCGGCTGCAGTTCGCGCCTCTGGCTGCGGTATGCGCGGAACGTGCGGGGGTTCAGGCCGAGGCTGTGAGGTAGCTGGCCGGTCAGCAGGTTCTGTAGCATCAGCAGCCGTCGGTAGGTCTTCTCCGGTAGGGGAAGGAGGAAGCCCAGTCCGCCGTCCAGCGAAGCTGCCGGTGGTAAGAAAGAGAAGTTAGTAAAGACGCTGAGTGAGAGACAGGTTGCTACTTGCTAATTATCTTAGTCGCCCAGAACCGCTGATAAGCTAGTGTATTTAGATGACTAAAAAAACACTACTACAGCTTCAAGGAAAACGATATGTTCCAATGTACCGCGCACAGCCAAGCCGACTAGGAATATCACGGCTCTGCTCGAGCTGTCGCAAGTGTTCACAAGTTACGACCGAACAGAGAACGCCAGATGGTAGGCTAAGGCACGCCATCTGGCAGATGCGTGTTTGGCAGATCCAGCAGTCAGCGTTCGGTAGATGCAATCTGCTCGATACGCCTCGCATGACAAATTTGGGTTACTTGATGAAATGTCGTTTCATCATGATAAGGTCATTGAAATTTGTATATAACCCAGAGGTGTGTTAGTATATAACCCAGAGGTTCCGTATAACACACCACCCAGAGGAGTTAGGTCACTCGTAGTAATAAAAATGTACATACAGCTTTTAAGGTCTTCATAGCTCGGAACAGTTGCATTCTCAATAATGCACTTTCGCCATCAATCACATCAAGACCTCCGGCGCGGCGGTTTGAGGTGACGGTATGGCCCTTGTATTATTTCGACAGTATGAATGAAGACGCTATCCAACAATGGTCCCTCACGACATACCGTAAACGGTCATGTGTCGTTTGGCCACGATGGGCGGGTGCTTCCTCTCGCCCGAAGTATCCTTCAGACGACACCGGACCCGCGTCATCGTAGTTACTCGCGAACAGAGCTGTCAACAGAACAGTCAGAATCAAACACCGGTCACGAGTCATCGTGGTCACTCGCGAGCACAGGCTGCCAACAGAACACAAACTGTCAACAACAGAGCACACCGTACCCGGGTCATTGTGATTACAAGCGAGCACAGCTGTTAACAGAATACAAACTGTCAGCAATAGTCTCCGGACCCGCGTCATGGTGGTTACACGCGAACAGAGCTGTCAACAAAATACAGGCAGTCAGCATCAAACACCGGACCCGAGTTATTGTGGTAGCTCATGAGCACAGTGCTGCCAACAGAACACAAATTGTCAGTATAAGACGTCACCGGACCCGTGTCATGGTGGTCACACGGCAGCACAGCTGTCAACAGAGCAGTCGAGATTAGACGTTAGAATAACGTAATACCCTGCGAACACACAGGTCAACATCTGACACCGGGTCATAGACTATGATCCGGTATCAGATGCTGGCCCACAGACTCAGCGGCAAGCACTCTGTTGATGAAATCGTCATCATGAATATTGAACAATGATAAATCTCAGGGAAAGGACGCTGTCACTGAAACTTCCAGTTGAAGCACAACGAATCGAACAGCTTCAATAAAAAAAAAACATTGCCACGTCCACTCACTCACACACACGTCACACACACCCCAAGTGAACCCTTCTCGCCACCACCCCTGGAGCTCCGTCGGACACCTACGTTGAAGTCTGCCCTGCGCATGAGTCTCTGTCCTCCGTTGCTCTCCCGGGCCTCCGGTTGGTACTGAAACACCACCAGGTTCGCCTCGGCGTCCGTCGCGATAAACCTGGGGAGGAAGAGACGCAGAACTCTGTCAAAAGTGGAAGGAGGAGAGCGATCAGGTACAGGGTGGAAAGTAATTACGCGAACATGTATTTTCTTACAATTTTCACCGTCAGTAGAGCATTTTTATGAGTACGGGCTGTCATGGAACATAATTGGTCCTGTTTGTTGTCACCTCATCTACCAAAAGTGACCTAACTTTGAACAATGACCTGGAAGGTCTTAAACACCTCTCCACTTAACCCGCGCCCCGTAGGGCTACCGGCGGACCCTACCACCCGTAGGGGGGGGGGGCCGTTTCGGCCCCCCCCTAAGATCTCGGAAAGTTACCGGCCGATTTTCAAAATTCAAACGGCGTTCGATAGCCCCACCCGGGAACTACCTTGTGACCAAATTTCATTGACCTAGGTCAAACCGATGACGTCACAGGTCAGGTCAAAGGTCAGATTTTCACCGTTCACAGGCAATTCAAGAAATGTGCTGTGAAAGCGAGTAAATTGGCAATTTATTGAAAACCATCGATGGTACATTGTTCGTCAAACACATACTTTGCTATCTGAGGTCACTGATACCAGGTCAGGTCACAGCGAGGTCAGGTCACCGGGGGTCACAATATGAATGTGTCGTGTGATACATGTTTTATGGTCCATTTTACATGACAAATGCGATTATGTGGGTTAGGCAGCCTTTGGGGCCAGCCTAGGTCACGTTTTTGTGAAGGTCAGGTCAAGGTCAGGTCAAATTAGGTCAAATTTCAAAGTTGATATTTTTGCATAAAATGGGTATCGATTCGATGCAGCTCGTCACGGGGAGTCTAATGGTGGTCTTCGTTTTGCTCTACGAGTTCTAGAATTGCCATAAATTGAGTTTGAAAATTTGACGTCATCATTTTTGAACAGTTTTTTCGCTATAACTTGGCCAAAAAACGAGGTATCGATCTGAAATTTGGTATGTAGATAGAAGACGGTAGGCACTATCACATATATTCCGGTTTTTTCGAAACTCAAAAAACTTTTTGGATTTTTTGGCGAATATATCCAAAAAAATGCTTTTTTGATTTTTGGGGGTCAAAACTCAAAAATTTCAAAAATTCGAGATAGCAGTTTTGTAGCCCTTTCAATTCTACACCTTTTATGTCTGATTATTTTTCTGTATCTTCAAAGCTGTAGTCCTGACAGGTCTTCTCGCGAAGGTCTTTTTTCGGTCGAAAATGACAGAACATGACGTCACTCTGACGTCATTTGTGGCCAACCTATCATAGCCTCTGGAAAAATTTTTGGTCACAATGTGTAAAATTGATGCTCGGAGGGGTCCTGAAAGTTTGGTGGCGATATCTCCAGCCGTTTAGGAGATATCGACCGAAAAGGACAGGGGGGGGGGCCGTTTCGGCCCCCCCCCCTACGGGGCGCGGGTTAAAATGGTGCAGACACCATACGCTGCACAAGACCGAAATGGGCAAAGAGCTCAATTTGGAGCTGCCAGGGAAAGCGTTTGTGATTATTTTCGCTGGACTGGCGGAGAAGGGATTCGTAGCGGTCTCAGCACCAGCATTGCACAATTATACGTTTTTTTTAAACATAACACTTGAGAGGACTTAAAAAGCAAAGCCGTCCGCGGCAGCAACCCCTCGGCGAATTCTGTCGCCGGGCGGGTGGTCACCATGTCGGCGACAAAACGACGCCAGTCGACCCGAAAACTGGCAAAATAGCTTACTCTGGCCGGGTACCCGATCTAGGATATCACGATTCGCACATTAATACGCAAAAATTCGAAAATTAAGTCGTACAAACCCTCGGGATGACCAAATTCACGAATTAACAGCAGAATTGTTAATTGAAGCTTTTCAAAGACAATCAAAGATGGACAGAGGAGGACAGGCAGCTGGATTTGTGGTTGGGTGAGACATCTGTGAAACTGTTTCATCCGTCAAACCTGCAGAACAACTGCTCTGAGGGCTGCTGTTGCGTCCTATGTCCCGTCCGTCCCAACCTTCAAACATCCGGCAAAGGAACACATCAGTGGGTCACGAGCCCCCGGGTGGTGTCAGAATTGCGTGTAGCGCTAAAAAAGGTCACTAAAAATAAAGTATACAACCGGTGGAACATCATCCAAGACGAGTGTCTCTGTCTAATCCACCGTGCAACGAAAGGGGCAAAATGACTGAGCGCACTTTTTTGCCTGACGCAAAGAAACTGCTCTTCGTGATTGGTGAAATCCTTATATTCACGGCCAACAAAACGCAATACTGGTGCTGTGAGAACCTGTTTTTCTTCAGGACATACAAAAGCTGATCTGGGAAACGCCTGGGCCTCAATTCGATTAAAAATCTCCAGATGACTCCTCAGGAGACCGTCTAAAAGCTGCAAGGAGCCACCAATACCGATTACCTCACTGGACAGCTCCATAAGGTGTGGGCTGAGCTTTGGCCAACAGATCTTCACATGCTGATGTAAATCATGCCGGAACGCCTATGTCAATGCATCGCAACTAGATAAGGATAAAGTAAAACATATATTGTTTATGTCACCGCCGTTTTTTCATTACTAGAAGACGAAAAAGTATGTTCGCGTAATTACTTTCCACCCTGTAGGCATGTGCTGCGGGGCGTGGAGTGTGAAGATGAGCGGTTCAGAAATATGCCTAAGTGGCGGTAGTAACTAGTAGCCTAACGCCATGACAAGCGCCGGAAGATATTGTTTTTAAGCGACTTGCGTTTCCCCAACGTATTAACCCGCGCACCGACGGGGGTCTGCGCCAACTTCGCACCGACGGGGGAGCGGATGACCGCCCCCCCCCCCCTGAGATCTCGAGAACGAAGCAAGATAGCGACAAGCGGTAAACGGCATCGGATACGCACGGCCAGGATCTACAATTTTTACTAAGGTCATTTTCAGGTCAGGTCAAAGATGACGTCACAGGGGTCGAAAAAGTCAAAATGGCGGCGCTAGATATGGAGAGAGTGTTTCTCGAATAACTTTCGAATGGGGAATATTTGTTTCTGGTCCCTAAAAAGCTGTTTCTGGCACCTAATTGCTGATCAGCCCCAAAATGCTTATTCGACCCTAATATCTGAATCTGGCACCTAATTGCTTCCACACAGCCTAAAGTTGCCAGATCGTCTAGTTGAACTCCGTATTTGCTGTTTGCTGATTCAGCACCAAAACCAAAACATCCAGCACCTATTTTATTCCACGTTTGCCTACCTAATTCGCGTAATCTTCCTGATTTTATGCATCCTAACAACATGAACGTTGCATTCGGTGATGTCAAGTGCCATTTTCGCCAGTGGAGATAATGGTTAATGCCATTTCTAGCCAAAAGAGAATCACTAGCCAGCTATGGTGCAGCATAGCAAGACGCTCCTATGCCAGCCCGCTATGTAGAGACTAGAGATTATTGCACCCCCAGCCATTTTAACGTGAAAAGTTTGGATCCGTCACTTCCAGCCAGGCTCTCAGGTCATAAACTGGAGTAAAGCAAAATCTCAACTCTGAACAGACATGCCACGCAACCGGCCCTCTTTTCAATATTATTAGCTTTCTGCAATCATCGTCTGACTCCATCTCGATCAAACGCAGCATCCGGTTTCTACAGGGGCGTTTGACTGACCGGCCACACAATAACCAAAAACAAAATCAAAGCTTCATGCACACATATGACATAAGTAAGAAACGGATGAAAAAGGCACAACCACGGCACAACTCTGCGCGGCAAACAACGGATAATGTCCCACGCAAGATCCCGCGTTTCTTCAGCGGCCTTGAACGGAATGAAAACATTACATTTCTTTTTTGGAGCTATTTGATGACGTCAAAAAAATACAATACCCGTTTTAATGGTCAAAATGGAGACAATTACTCACAAAAATGTTTCCCTTTAAGCATTACAAATAAATACTTTTAAATATTTAAATGACATTGTTTTTTCAAACAAATCAATATTATTTGCTTACTTTAACGTCATATACAATGCTGAGATCACTACGGGGCTGTCTTAGAGTGAAGCTGCACTGGCAACCTTTAGGCTAGACTCCAGGGGTCATTATGCCAGAACAACATGATTCTACCAGCCAGTAGTTCATTTTTCTACTAGATTGGTGCTACGCTCAGCATTTAGGTGCCAGATTCAGAAAAAAGAGTAAGCTGTACCGTTGAATAGGTGCCAGAAACAGCTAATTAAGGTCATTTTCCATGATTGGTGCTGGTATCCACCAAATAGATGCTGAGGACCAATTTTGGGGCGAGTCAGCTTTTAGGTGCCAGAAATAGCTTTTCTGGGACGCAATTAAATGGCGTCCCTTTCGAATTAGTCAAGATAGGAACAAACTAAGGGCATCATCGTGATCCTCTCGTCAATCCGCATCGAATGATATATATATATGTTGACCTCGAAAGGTCAAGGTCAAAGGTTGACCTCAGGTCACGTGACCTCGAGGTCATCATGTATATCATTCGATGCGTCTTGACGAGCTGAACACAATGAGACCATCTACGCGTCTGTATCTTGTTCCTGTACGGAGTTATTGGCCAAAAACCTTTGGTGACCTTTGATGACGTCACATGACCTCACAGCTGCCCAACAGCAAAACAGACCTCAAGGTAGTGAAGGTTGATCGTATATGAAGTCATGTATGGTATATGGGGCCATTCCGACCCGTTTTAGTGGTAAAAACAGGGAGTTGATTTTTCCCCCATTGACTTATAATGGGGAGGTCGCGAAATTGACCTGACCTTAGGTCACCGATATCGAAATTCCGAGATATACAAATTGTAGCTACTAATGACCTAATAATATCCTGCGACTTTCAAAGGCCTCCGACATCTACTGTAGCTCTGGCACGGTGACAAAGTTGCAAAAAAGTGACTTGAGGTTGGGTCATTCAAAGTGACCTGGTGACCTGACCTTAAAAGGTAGGAGGTTCAAACTTGCACACCATGTGTAAAATTGATGAGGTTATAGTCATACCAAATTTCGCGCCGCGGTTTTCCCGCTATTCGTGAAAAACCTCAGGGGGGGGGGCGGATATCCGCCCCCCCCCCCCCCGTCGGTGCGCGGGTTAACCCGCGCCCTGCTGGGGGGGGGTGTTTGAACACCCCCCCTTGTGGTTTTTCGCGAATATCTCAAAAACGGCGGCGCGGAGCGCCGCCGTTTTTGGTACACCTTACCATACATCAATTCTACACATGTTGTGCAAATTTCAGACCAAGGTCATTCAAGGTCAGGTCACCAGGTCACTTGAAGTGACCTCACCTCATAAAAAGTTTCAATGTCTGTCATAGCTACACCGAGTGACCGATCGCTTTGAAACTTTCAGCGATTGCTAAGAGCAATAGCATGTACAAAATGTATATCTCAGAATTTTGATATCGATGACCTAAGGTCAGGTCAATTTTGCGACCTCCCCATTATAAGTCAATGGGAGAAAATTGAAATGCGTCTCTTTTGGACGAAAGACATTATAAACACTCCCAAACACTGAATTACAAGTGGTTTAGACACACTGAACATGAAAATGGTGTCCGTGACCCCTGTTTATGCCCTGAGGTCATCTTAGGTCACGAATGGTATCTAACAGTTTTTCGCAAATAACTTTTGATAGAGGCATGCTAAAGCGATGAAAACACCTTAGATGTGTTCAGCTCGACGATACGGATCGACTGATATGCAACATGACCCTTTCCGGTCAGGTCATGACCCTGACCTGAGGTCAAATTTTCAAGTTGACCTGTCAAGGTCAAGTTATAGTTCATTCGATGCGTCTTGACGAGAGGAACACGATGCCGGTAAAAGTAAGCTCGTACAATGCTTGGGTCAAAAGTTATTGCAGAAAAACTGTTTCCGAAAAAATCGGCTATTTTTGCAGTTTTTGCCCCCTGCAGGCAAAACCGTTGACGTTAGGTCAAATCTGAGAAAATTACTCAGAAAGGGCGTTAATAGGGCTATCGAATGCGCTTTTCCGCGGCGCTGTAGCTCTATTGGTTCCCGAGTTATGCGTTGGCTTCTTGGAAATTTTCGACATTCGACCTGGAAATCGGCGAAATTTTGCCTTCAATGACCTCTGGTGACCTGACCTTTGACCTGACCAAAAAATTGACCGAAGTGATTTCGTCATTATTTTTGACGCTCTTTCGAACGCCGCCTTCCGCGTATCGCTACGTGGCCCAGGAGCCGAGTTAGAAGGGGGGGTGTTCAAACACCCCCCCCCCAGCAGGGCGTGGAAATCCAGGACCCCCAGCCGGGCGCGGGTTAATCTACGCGCACTCCGATAGATCCGGTACGCTGCTGAAATAGAATCGGAGGAAAAGGAGCCAAACTGAATGTGATAGGGCGTCCACCTATGCAGCACATTCGCTGTTCTTATTAACTGAACATCATTCTAGCATCGTCATATGCGATATCAAAAGTCAATCCTTCGATTAATTACTCTTACCCGACTTGTGTGTTGTCGACCAGATACTCGACGCCGTAGATGTCCCTGGGCTTGTAGTCCCTGGCCAGGAGGGAGATGGTGCGGAAGTCCTGCTGGAAGCGCAGCACCGACACTGAGTTGGAGACGTCCGAGGCCAGGATCATGTTCTTCATGGCATGCAGCTCGTGGATGTACACCTGGGTGTCGATGAATGCCAGACCGACCAGGTCGTTGTTCTTGACAGTCCATACGAATACCTGGTGACGAGAGGGGGAAGGTGTCAGTGATTAATGTGTGGCGAGGGAGGGGTGGGTAGGGGTGAGGACAGTCGTTGGGAACTGAACGTTGTGGAGGTCAGCGTGATAAATAAGAGGGAGGACGTTGAAAGAAAGACGCATGTTGTTTAATAGGACGTGTAGTTCGTTGTGGTTCTCAAATCCAATTCATATAAACATTTCTAGAGTTGAAAAGTGGACATCGTGGCCGTAATCGTTCGAAGACACAAAAGAATAACAGCATACAATAGCACTCTTGCAAAATTAACAATACAACAAAAGATGCACAGCATTAGCAACTGTCTTGATCAGGCTGAGGCCCCATTCATTTCACATCTAGCTGCGGTCCGCACCTTTTGTCCGACGGCGCCCAGCAGGAAGCCGGCCACGGAGCTGATGGCTGTGACCGGCGCCGACTGCTCCTTGGTCAGCAGCGTCTTCAGCTTGTTCTTGGTCAGCGGCTGGCCCGGCTCGGGCACCACCTCGATGACGTCCATCAGCATCAGCTGTGAGTACCGTAAAGTGGGGCTATTTGAGACAGTGGGGCTATTTGAGACAGTAAGGTAATGGTATAGTAAAATCGCTGTAAAATGAAAACCGTTTGATGTTTTTTCGTCATTTTTGCTTAAGCTGATGTGGAATTGAACAATGAATGCTCTGAATAACCTTTTTGAAAATTTCGAAAAGTTCTGAAAGAAATTTGCAATAAAATACGAAATACAGAAAAACGCACAATTTAAGTTGCTCGAAAAGGACCCCTACCTGCAGCTTAAAAAAGTTGAAGTTTTAACAGCTTCGCCACTGTATCTATCGCTACTACCTTTTTGCTTATAGGTTAAGCACATTTTTCATGAAAATATTATATATTGTTAACGGTACTGCCGATTGCGCAACCCATTGCCTCAGAATCCCGATGATGCCCACCTGGTCAAACCTCAACGGATATGCCAAATAGCTGATGATAACGGTGATGCGATGCACCCGAGAAGACTTACCGCCATCTACCTGAAGTGCATCGAACGTTCGACATAAGCAACACCGGTGAATCGGTCGTGGTCATAAACGTGCAGTGGGTTCATGGTAGGTCCTTTTAGCAGCAAGCAATATTTACATGTTCGTAGTGTAACATAATAACCCTTTAGCTGGTGACCAAACTAGTTATTCTGATGAATATGTGCTTAAAATGTGCTTCATCAGTCACTGACTCATTCGACAATCAACATATGTCTACCTTGGTTGACCAAAAAACACCATCGAATGTTACTTAACGCATGAACGTACTGTTAGGTGAGCCTATACAAGTACTTGATGTGGTAGGGTAACCGGCCAATTGATACGGCATGCAGCGATCGAGGAAAATCGGCATAAAATCAAAACCGTTTAACATTTTTCTGTTATTTCTTCGCATGGAGATGTACAATGGAACAAACAATCATGCAGACCATTCACTCAAATGTTTTGGGAATCCTTTTGCCTTGTTTGATTCATTACAGTGTGCTTCATAAGGCAGCGAGACTGTCTCAAATAGCCCCACCGACCTTCGGTATATCTGTTTTCACGTCACCGGGGCTATATACAAAAACTTACTTTCAAAATTTTACTGTCGATGACTTTAAAATAGTCCTTGATGATCATCCTGTCAGTTTGAAAGCTATGGGTCACATCATATTATGATAGCCTTAGCATATAGTGATGCAATTTTATACCCTACCGAAATGAAGTGTCCTACGAAAAAGGAAAAGATTGAATATAAAGGTCATATAACAGTCTTTGAAAAAAACAATTTTTGCCAAAATGATCAAAATTCAATTTCCAAATGCTTGGAGTTTAAAAAATTATCTCTAGCGTCACTGATTTTCTTTAATTTCCTTGCAACTAAAACTGTCTCAAATAGCCCCACCCTATGGGGCTATTTGAGACAGGCTTTAACATAAAAAATAACCTCAGTCATTATTACTAGCTGAACCAAAATACACCTATATGAAAGAGCTCACAGAGAACTACATTTTTGCAATTTACATGCTATAAGAAATATGAGCCGTCTTAAAGGGAGAGGCCAAAAACTTTAAAATCCGTTTCAAATAGCCCCACTTTACGGTACGTGCGATAGGGGCGTTAGAATACGGACACGGGGATGGATCGGAGACTTGGGACCAATGTAGTACCGAGCGAGTGGTGGGAGGGAAGGGAAGCGTGAGAGCGAACACGGGACCGGACTAGAGACTCAGGCAATAATGTGGTACGTACCAGTGGAAGCGAGGGAATGGGGAGCAAGGATACATAAACGATAACAAGTTTTGATAAGCACATTTAAAGTCAGCGGTTTCAAACAGGGAAACTTGAAGCAGTGCATTGTCATTGTAAGTCAATGGGTAAGAGAAGACGGATGAAGATGTGCCTCTTAACCCTATTCCTGGCGGGGGGGGGGGGGCCTCAGGAGCCCCCCTGAGGTTTTTTGGTTATTTCTCCCAAACGCGTTGAGCTAGGAAGCTCAAATTTTCGGACTTTTCCTAAAAGGCTTCTACGCAACATGTCTGAAAATTTTGAGTTGATCTGACTTCAGGTCAGGTCACCAGAGGCGGTTTGGTGACCCTACCTCAGAAAAGTTTGCAATCACGCCAGAGCTAGAGTTTTTGACCGATCAATTTCTTCTCTTCAGGCTTTAGTTAGGGTACCAGTATGTGCAATTTGTATATCTCGGAATTTTGATATCGGTGACCTAAGGTCAGGTCAGTTTCGCGACCTCCCCATTATAAGTCAATGGGGGAAAAATCAACTCCCTGTTTTTACCATTAAAACGGGTCGGAATGGCCCCATATACCATACATGACTTCATATACGATCAACCTTCACTACCTTGAGGTCTGTTTTGCTGTTGGGCAGCTGTGAGGTCATGTGACGTCATCAAAGGTCACCAAAGGTTTTTGGCCAATAACTCCGTACAGGAACAAGATACAGACGCGTGGATGGTCTCATTGTGTTCAGCTCGTCAAGACGCATCGAGTGATATACATGATGACCTCGAGGTCACGTGACCTGAGGTCAACCTTTGACCTTGACCTTTCGAGGTCAACATATATATCATTCGATGCGGATTGACGAGAGGATCACGATGATGCCCTTAGTTTGTTCCTATATTGACTGGTTCGAAAGTTATTCGAGAAAAACTCCCCATACCTAGCGCCGCCATTTGGACTTTTTTGACCCCTGTGACGTCATCTTTGACCTGACCTGAAAATGACCTCAGTAAAAATTGTAGACCTTGTCCGTACGTATCCCTTGCCGTTTACCGCTTGTCGCTATCTTGCTTCGTTCTCGAGATCTCAGGGGGGGGCGGTCATCCGCCCCCCCCGCCAGTTTCTTGTCCCGGCGGAGCCCGCCAGGAATAGGGTTAAAGCCGCTGAATTTGGCAGCAAACAGGGGGCGTACTTACTCCACTTCCGTTAGAAGTAACACCAGTCTACCCCGTTTACTCTTAACCTCTTGCTCCCGTAGGCCCTTTTCCTTACAGACGACCCCTTTCCGACGGTCGGCGGCCTACATTTCCCTTTCAAACTTCCCCACGACAGCTGTTAGCCCACCTGTCCCTTGCAGACGACGTCCTCCCCGTAGCTGTGGTTGGTGGCCACGGCGATGTACATGCGCTGACCGGACCGGTGGCCCTCGTACTGCAGGCTGACGTTCTTCAGCACAGTCACCACCTCCCACTCCTCGAACTCGATGGACGCCTTCGGCACCGGCTAGAAATGGGGGGGGGGGGGGACGGGGGAGAGGTTAGAGGGAGACATCCAGGGAAGAGTGGACAATTATTGTAAAATGAAGTGTTAAATGGGAGGGTGATGTAGAGGAGCCAAATGAAGGAGGTGACGTGAGGGAGCAACACATAATTCAATGTGATGATTATTCCAAACAACGGAATTCGTATACCATGTGTGATACTGTTTTTGATGGAGCCTAGAAAAAAGATAAAGACGTTGTTCACCGTGCATTATCCACTATCATTCATGTTACACACCAAAATAGTTTCATTTCAGATGCAGACCACCAGTGTCCTGTTAAGTTCTCACCGCTATCGACCTCACTCCTCCCCATCTTCCCCACCCTGCAACGGGCCAGCACACACGCTACTCTGTAACTAGTCTGTAGAGTGTATGTACACTGTACCTCCCAGGAGACGGGCGAGTACAGCTGTATGGTATACACCTTCTGGTACGGGTACGGGAACCGGTCGCCCTTGTCCACTGTACAGTGTACCAGTACAGTACTACCAGTGCAGTACCCTCCCGCTCTATACCCTGCACACTGTAGGTTACGTACCTCCCAGGAGACTGGCGAGTAGAGTTGGATGGTGTACACCTTCTGGTACGGGTACGGGAACCAGTCACCTCTGTCCACTATACAGTGTACCAGTACAGTACTACCAGTGCAGTACCCTCCCGCTCTATACCCTGCACACTGTAGGTTACGTACCTCCCAGGAGACTGGCGAGTAGAGTTGGATGGTGTACACCTTCTGGTACGGGTACGGGAACCGGTCACCTCTGTCCACTATACAGTGTACCAGTACAGTACTACCAGTGCAGTACCCTCCCGCTCTATACCCTGCACACTGTAGGTTACGTACCTCCCAGGAGACTGGCGAGTAGAGTTGGATGGTGTACACCTTCTGGTACGGGTACGGGAACCGGTCACCTCTGTCCACTATACAGTGTACCAGTACCCTCCCGCTCTGTACCCTGTGCACTGTTTGTTACGTACCTCCCAGGAGACGGGCGAGTACAGTTGGATGGTGTACACCTTCTGGTACGGGTACGGGAACCGGTCACCTCTGTACAGTGTACCGCCCAGTACCCTCCCGCTCTGTACCCTGTACACTGTATGCACGTACCTCCCAGGAGACGGGCGAGTACAGCTGGATGGTGTACACCTTCTGGTACGGGTAAGGGAACCGGTCACCCCTGTCCACTATACAGTGTACCAGTACCCTCCTGCTCTGTGCCCTGTACACTGTAGGTTACGTACCTCCCAGGAGACGGGCGAGTACAGCTGGATGGTGTACACCTTCTGGTACGGGTAAGGGAACCGGTCACCCCTGTCCACTATACAGTGTACCAGTACCCTCTCACCCTGTACCCTGTACACTGTATGTTACGTACCTCCCAGGAGACGGGCGAGTACAGTTGGATGGTGTACACCTTCTGGTACGGGTACGGGAACCGGTCACCCCTGTCCTCCACACTCAACTCCTTGTCGTCGCCAGTGAACCTGCCGCAGGGGAGACATGTGGTTAGCAATGGGGACAACGGGAAACGACGGCAGAGATAGTTAGTGAGCGATTTGGGAAACAGCGAGACAATGTATTCTAGTGAGCTAGACACATGGTGGAAAATGGCAATGACAGATAGGTATCTAGCAGCTGCGCTGTTCTGGGGCATCGCAATTTGTCGAGAGGTCGGAAAATCACTGGGAAAGATTACTTAGTAACAGTTCTGAATCCTGATGAACATGCCTGATGAACAAGAACATGTAAGTACATCTGCTGAAAGCTCGAAAAAAAAAACAAGCAATGACCGTAGATGCATAGATGCAGAGACACCTAGAGATCGCTAGAAAAACCAGTAAAAGACTAAGTGAGAGCTCGGGGAAACAGCTATCGGCACCAGCAGAGACACCCAGCGACTGCTCAGAGAAACAGCTATCGACGTCAGCAGAGACACCTGGTGACTGCCCGAGGAGACAGCGGGCGGGCGCGGGCCCCACCAGCAGTGTTCCCGAACACACTACTGATGCGGACAATGTTCGGAGAACTGAACAGCAGGGGCGTATGGGTTCTCTAACGCAGGTAGGTGGCGTGGTCTGCTCCCACGCCGGACCAGACAGAGCGGCATGGAATTAAAATTTGCTGTCATACAGTTAAAACAGGACTGCAGCAGTGAAGAAACTCCATCGCTGGCAGAAAAATGCTACCGAGTGATTTGGCTGACGTTGGTTAGTTGCTTGGTGTTGTAAAAAGGCATTTGTTGATGTCTGTGAGAAAAAAATGAAGGACCATAACTGCACCGAAAGACGTGTAAACATAATGACTGGTGTGTTCGAAACCACACTCGAACTCACTCCACACTCCACAGTCATTAATTAGGACTAAGGGCAAGGACAGGAACCAGAAGAGTTGGGCACAGCACGTGTTACCTACTTGTAGACCTTCATGGACTGCTGGGCGTTGGACGAGCACACCAGGTGCGTCTTGGTCTCCAGGTGGTAGCAGATGATATGTGGCGTGCAGCGCAGTGGGATCTTTCGGATCGGCCAGGGCGCATCGTAGAGCAGGTGGGGCGGCAGCACGCAGATCCGCATCTCACCCTGGAACAGAGGGGAGAGATACACACATCAGCGAATTGTACAACAGATGGGGCGGCAGCACGCACATCCGCATTCCGCATCTCGCCCTGCCGAGCGAGGGATACAGTTCCACACATCACTCATCAACCACACAAGAGCGCGGTCAGTCAAACAGATCCGCAGCTAACCCTGTAAGAGAAGGGGCAGATCCACACATCGCTCACGCTTGCTTCTATGGAAAATATCCATACACGCAAGTCCACATCTCACCCTTCCAGAATGGGACATGATTAGAATTAAGATCCTTGTTTACATAGTGGTGCTCAAGCTTGCATAGACTTCTATTGTTATTTTCCGCCTGGTCAAAGTACTCCTGACATTGCCGGCCACGTATTCGTTGATCCGTTTTAGGTGCGGATCCACCAGACCTTCACTCTTGACGGGGTGGATCAGGAGAAAAGAAAGTCTTTTGTCATATTCAGTCAATGGCAATCCAGGAATGACAATCAAGGGGTGCTCGATCACACCTTGATCGCAAGTGTGGTAAAGCATTAGCCTCGTTGGTATTGGTATTAAGTAAAGCGTAATGTAATCCGTTATGGAAGCGGCATCTCGCTCATGGACAGCACTATTAGGTTACTGGTTAAGCCAACTTTGCCGACACATACTTGCATGTCGACGATATATTCATTCTCCCCAAGAAAACGACTCAGTTTTTCAACTTGCTTCGAAAACAAAGAGCTCACTTTCGCTCTTACAGTATACAACGCTAACAACGAAGCTAATGTGTGATTTGAGCCCAAGTCTGCCGCTGCTTATAACCAACATTGCGGAGGATTGCGCCAATCAATGTCATTCTGCGTCCAGATCACTTGTATCGTGTTCGCAACTGTATCTCCAGTGTTCGGGTTTTTGGTGACCCTTCCAAAAACAGAAACACTCTTAGCCAACAGCTTGACGGATCCTGAGCCCTCGGAGCGATACATCCTCTCACAAATGATGACCGCGAAGAAGAAAAAATAAACCAAACAAACTCAGTGAGGCCGTGGGTCCCTGACAACAGGGAGGTGCGAGATGAGCTGCTGAGTTGGCACGATGCCAGGACCACCAGAGGGCTCTGTCGGATGTGACGACACAGGCAGAGCACCAGAAGCATCGGCAGAGCACCGATGGAGCACCGATGGAGCACCAGAGCACCGTCAGGTCCAGCTACAAACAGCACTGTGCTCTTCCGGCCGGCGGACGCGATACGTGGAACGGGGCGGAAAGTTACCGACCGTGTCAGCGGCTGATGGAGGGAGAGGGAGAGGGAGAGAGAGAGGGGGGAGGGAGAGGGAGAGGGAAAGGGAGAGGGAGAGGGAGAGGGAGAGAGAGAGAGAGAGAGGGAGGGAGCGAGAGAGAGGGGGAGGAAGAGAGTGAGTGTGTCATACATGACGCTGTGTAATTGTTCAGTACGCTCCAACATCAAAAGTTCAATCAATCGGAAACAAACGCGAAATAAACGGCAATGCATCATAACTTACAAAAATGACATCGTTGATGTCTTTCTCTACTGCCCTCCAATTAATTTAACAGGGTCTGCTGACTTACAGCATATCTTCATAATAAACAAGAAATCATCGACATTCCATCAGAGGTCTGCACTGTTCGTAAACGTTCAGACCAGGAAGCCTGCAGAACCTTGTCCCAGATGGACGGAAGCCTCGTTCCGTGCAATGTGCACTGAGCAGCCAATCTAGTGAGTCCAGCACAGGCCACAGTCCATCCCTCCTCACTGGGCCAGGGCCATTTCAGCGTCCCGCTAGCCGGGAAAGAGACCAGGCCAGAGCGGGGCAAACAGAGATCAGGGCGCGGTGAAGAAGGCAGAGAGGAGCAAGGGATATAGGAGAGCAAAGCAGGCGAGACGGGAGCAGAGAAGTTCATGAAAAAATTGAGGTGGAAATACGGAGCGGAATGGTGACCAAAATTAATTCGATTCATAAATTTAGCAGAAATGTACGTCATGCATGCAAAGATAAACGACGCCAGATCGGGCGCCAATCGAGCTTGCTGCGCAGGCCACGGACTCTGAACTGCGATCCGAGACTTATGGATATTCGGGAGAATTTTGAGTCAAAGTTCAGCATTCCCACGCAGCCGGACACGGTCCGTCCCACTCACTGACTGAACCTGGCCGCAGACGTTCCCATCAACCGCAAACCAGCCCCCCGCGGCACTTTCAGCTCTTATGTATCGAGCGACGAAACAGCTCGGAGCGACTCAGACCCGGACTTTCACTGTCGGGGGTCTGACGCTGAGCAGTTCAGCTAGGGGACGAGGTTGACAGGACAAGACGAGGGCAAGGGCAAGGGCAGATAGGGGCTTATGGGGCCCAAATCAGGCCACAGAGGAAAAGCTATATATAACGAAAATGATGTGAAACTAATTATACAAATGAGCTATGCGGAACCAACATCACTTTACTGCTGTCAAGCGGAAGCAAACAAAAATGTGAAGGATTCTTCGATTGGCTGTTATGAGGTTCGAAATGATGTGGCTTTCGGTCACCCTGAGGGGCATAAGCTGCAAGTAGCATACTGAGTGACGCGCCTCACTGCAGGGCGATAATGGCAGTGAACGGTGCATGTGGGGGGACTGGTTGGACGGGGAACCCAGATACGATCAGTGGGCAGCGGGGGGGGGGGGACTCGGGCCGGCCTCCCGCACCGGGGGCGGAGTATGGGCCAGGGGTAGGCGGTCCGCTGGTCAGTCAGCAGTCGCCCTACCGCCCCGCTCGGCACCCGGCCAGCCCCCTGAACCGATCACCGCCGCTGCAGCCGGCCACCAAAGTCTAAACATAGTCGGGGGGCGGCGGCCGGTGTCCGGGGGGCTGGCCGGGGGCCACGGCGGCCCACCAGCGGCAGCGCGCTGCCCCTTGGAGTGCCCCTCGCTGACCGACCGACCGGCCGGGCCCACCAGTGGCACCAGCCATGTCACCGGGCGAGCGGGCCGACCGGCGGCGCACCGCTCTGACCTTGGCGGCCGGCTCGGCGGCGCGGCGCAGCGCCTGTTGCACGGCGCGACAGCCGACGGCGGCGGCGGCGGCCGGAGACGACGGCAGACGCGCAGCGGAGGCGGCGACGCGCAGGCGTGTCGTCGTCAGACAGTGCGCCGCGCCAGACAGACGGTGGACGCTGGTCGTCAGGACAGACAGAGCCGACGACGAGGAGTTGGGAGCACCCGAGGAGTGACGGTGGCGACTGGTGCGCAGTAGAGGCGGACCAAGGTCTGACAGCCCCGGATACAGCGCGAGTGCCTCTGATAAGGCAGCGATGAGCCAGTACGGTCGAAAACGCAGCGCCAGCTGCCGAGAGGAGACCCAGGTGAGGATTGGGACCGGGGAGCTTCACCCTTACATCATAGGGGGTAGAAGTAATGGTAATTTTATAACCAATTCCGACCCAGCCCGTTCCAGCCCCAACCGCGATTAAAATGCAAATCCATAGTACTTCTTTGGTGTGAACATCATAATACTAACACGTTATCCACTGCGCAGTATGTTCACAATGTAGCATTTCAATATTGACACGCCCCCCCCCCCTACAATGGCGGAGAATAGACCACTGTTGCTGACGGCTCGCGTTGATAAGGCACGACTGTAAGCCCCGCCCCGCCCCTCTCCCGCAGTGTTTCCGTCCCCCTGACCTAGAGCCGTGCGAGGTCATAACAGCGGGGTGGAATGGTGGGGTGGAATGACCCGACATTCACCTCCGTCAGCTGGCAGCGAGGTCGTATGGCTGTAACTCATTGTCTCATAACCATAGCTAGAAGACGGTGCGACGAGCTTTAGAGAATGGAGAACATATGTGAGAAAGGATTCGAATCGGAGACATTGTATTCAGTGATTGTGACAGATGCTACAGAGCAAAGACAATGCAGACGAAATGCCAAAGATCGTTGATCGAAAAATGCAAGTTTAAAGGGCGCTCGGACTGCATGCCACATAAAACTGGTACACGTGCAGAAAAATGGTCGAGCAAACACCTTCCACGCCAATGCTGGCAGATATTTGTTTCTTCTCAATGCTCTACGTGCTTCGCACAATGCACAAACATGTAAAGTATTCTCACTAGCGAGCATTGGACTATATTATTAGTTATTACCAGTGTATGAAAAAAACGAATTATACCTGTATTTTTGGCGAAGATAGGTAGGGGAGAGTGGGGTAATTTGGCCGCTTTTTTTAGAAAACGATGTAACTAAAAATCGACAACACATTTCTGCATTTTCTCAACGCTGACAGGTGTGGCATACATTCTACTTTCTTGGACTGTAAACTTGAAATGATTGAGTAACTACTTATATTGAAATTGTGGCGTATTACAAAGGTCTGCAAAGCGGCCAAATTACCCCATTAGCAGGGTTATTTGGCCGAAGGTGTGGGGCAATTTGGCCGGTGTTAGTTTGAGGCCATGATTTTTGTTATAGGCGAGTCAGCTTCACATTCAGCAATGACGCGTGTCCTACGACGCATTTGAAGCATTTTGGAGGTTGACTCAGCCGTCACAGGGGTCGAAAATAGTCAAAATAGCGGCTCTAGATGCGATGACAGTTTTTTTACGAATAACTTTTGAAGTAATCAAGTTAGGCCAAAACTAAAAGTACCATCGTAATTCTCTTGTCATTCCGCATCGAAACATGTATGTGTTGACCTCGAGAGGTCAAGGTCAAGGTCAAGGTCATGGTTGGCTTCAGGTCACGTTACCTCAGGTCGCTTGACCTCAAGGTTACGTGAGTTCAAGGTCATCATGTATATCATTCGATGCGCCTTGACGAGCTGAACACAATGAGACCATTTGCGCGGCTGTATCTTTTTTCTGTAAGTATTTATTAGCAAAAAAGCGTTAGGTAACCTTTGATGACGTCACATGCCCTTACAGCTGTCCAATAGGAAATATGGCATCAAGGTAGTCAAAGTTGGTCATGAATTATGTCCTTTATGGTATAATTGACCATGACAACTCGGCCGACCCAGCATAGTGACTCTGAGCGCACCGGCCAAGTTGCCCCGCTAGTCCCGGCCAAATAACCCCACATTGCCATTCTGAAAATCTTTGTCTATAAAGTCGTCATGGCTGTACAGAACTAGATGAAATTGCTCTTGGAACCGCAGAACACCCTCAAAAATGGCGCTATAATATTCGAATTCGTTTACAGCCCAAATACTACATGTTATACAAATTTTTAAACGGAAGTAAAAGTTACCATTTTCTAACGTAATTCACCTTTTATTAATTTTGAATAAAACTAAGAGGGGGAAAGTTTTGACATTTGTTCTCGAGTTAGTTCTGCCGATGACAAATGAATAGAGACTAAAGTTATTTCATTCACTTTTATGAGCTTTCGTACAGGTGGGGGCGGCCAATTTACACCACCGGCCAAATTACCCCACTCTCCCCTACTCGCAATGCTTACGTGCCAACAATAGAACTAAGCCGTAAATGGCAATACGCAAATGCCATAACCCCAACCACTGTGACTAAAATAGCACACATCCTGAACCATATTCACATCGAGCGTATTTCAAAACCGCTGCGAATCAGTGGTGTGAGAGCTCCGGTATGGTAGAGCCAAGAGCCCCCCCCCCCTTCTTAACACCCCTCCCCACATCTGCCCCAGTAGCGTCATCGCCCAGAATAAAACCGTCTGGCATTCCGTCCAAAGATTGGACAGAGGGGCTGAACGTCAGCCATTCGAAGGGAGAGAGACAGCCTCATAAGAGTCTTCAAACTACCTGTCCTGACGCAACTTGTCACTATGGCTGATGCAATTAAGCTAACCCGTCTATTAAAAGACGCGCCTGTAAAGTTCGAAATTAGAACCAAGCACCTACGTAAATCGCGGCAGACGTTCGCGACTTCAAGAATTGTGATCATTCGAGCACCCGCTCACCAGCACTAGACCAAGATTACTTCACTAGACTACATGAGAAATATCAACAAACGCATATCTCGGCTGGTCATCGACCTAGTCTGCCTCAGCGACAGGCGCGCCGGTTCGCAGAAAACATGTCACTGGGCGGGGAGGGGGGGGGAGGGAGGACCCCTCAGTTGGATACAACCCTGTACCCAGCGGTCAGCCGGGACACATTTGAAAAACAGTTTCGCCATGACACCGGCATACCAGAGAAGTTGTATATCTAACGATTTCCAAACATGAAGGTCTTTGGGCCCCACGTCTCTAATGACACAGTGTTTTTGCAGCCGATCTCAAAGCCCCGGAATGCCTCACGTGTTGTCCAATGTTGTCTAAATATCCTACACTGACATCCTAGATTGAGCTCCTTGCAGAAAGATATTGATGCAGATGAATATAAACAGATTAATGTTGCGGCGTAATTCGCCTGTCGGAAGCGGCTCTCTGTGCAACTTATGCAGTGCCCCAGGAAAAACGCCAATGGAAGGCGCATTGGTGCCCTCCGCTGCTAAGCTGAGCAGTGAGCACAGAGGCGATACGTTTCGTAGCTCTCTCTTCTTAGTTCTTAGCGCCGTACCCTCAGCTTCGTTACACCTAGACATCACCCTGACCAGTGTTTTCTCTGCGTCACAGAGCTCTTCCGCCTGGGAGCCGGCCAGTAAGCGGCTGCGCAGCCTGGTCCACCAGATGCGCTCGCTGAGTCTCGGCGACCTGCCATGGTCGCGGCGCAAGGTTGTGCTGGACGTACGGCCGCCGGACCCGCCGCCCACCCCGGACGCCACGCCCCTGCCGGAGCGTCGCGCTCTAACTGCCCCGGCCGTCTCCGCCGCCGCTGCCGCCGCCGCCGCCCTGGCCGCAGCAGCAGCGGCCGCTCAGGCGGCGCCCGAGCCGCGGCGGGGCAGCTACGCCGCCGTCAACCACTCCTGCAGCTTCAGCGTGCCCTCTCCGAGCCTCGGAGGAGCCGACTGTCCGTCCTACGGCGGCGGACAGGGGGCCAAGAGGACTGAGGATGAGCCGAGCGGCAGTCGGGCCAAGAAGGCGCGCAACAGAATGCGGCTGGGCCAAAACGGCGTGGTGATGACTTCCTGTTACATCGAGCAGACGCTTTACACGTGAGCTGCGACTCCGGTCGGAGATACCTGCACAGGGCGGCGGCGGAGAGCGGGCCTCTGCACGTCTTCAGTTCAATAACATTGCCAGCATGACTGGCGTCAGTTGTGAGGCCGTGGACACGCGATGAGGTCACTGTGGGCCTACTGGCACGTGGCTGAGGTCGACGCCAGCGAACACACCCTCCATAGGCCATGGTTTTGTGCAAGGAAACGGTCCCGTACCGCTACTTTTGGCCGGAGAGGCGTCCTCTGCAAGTGATAACCTCTTGACATGCATCGGGAAGATATTCAACACCGGGAATATAATTCCCTAGACGGGAACGGAATACAAAGTGGCGTCTGTGCCGGACACGACCAGCTTCGAAGTCAACCGACACTGCTCATGTCAGTGCAAATGTATATAATGAAGAGATGACACATATCGAGTACGGATGGTGATGTGTTGAGTGCAGGGGCACATATCGCGGGGGCGTGGGTAGGGTCGGTGGCCAGGTCATGGCCAGGCTGTGACTGATGCGGGACAATGGTGGTTAGCGGGCAAGCACGATCTGAATAAACACAGGATGGGTTAATGCATAGTAGACCGGGTTTCAGTTTTTTTTCGTAGCCAAGATAGTCGCTTTGAGTGTTTGAGGTTGGATGGGCGGGGCGCTTACGGTACCACTGATGTTGCTGTGATTGTGTGCGACAGGTACAAACCAGGGAGTTGACCGTACTTTGAACAGAAACTGCGCATTGCGAACGGTCATGTACCCATGTGCAGCCCGGGCGTCACATACAGAAGCAACACGTGAGCGCATGTGTATCCCGCACGTGTCCTGCCGGCCTGGCGCCGCCGCACGTGTCGGGGCCACGTGCCAGGGGCGCGGGTACTGGCCAGCCATGGTGCCAATACACGAACCGTTCGAGAGACGGGTGGTATTTCTCAGTCGCGCTGCGACGCAGTAGGTGGTGCAGATTGTAGCCGAATGCAGATTGCAGGGCGGCTGCACGGATATGGTACAGGGAGCGCACTTTGCACATCAGCCAGTGTTGTGCCGGACATCGTTTAAGTTTTATTCATGAAACGCCTCCTCTCTGAAGTCGAAACTGCTCGCCTTTTAGATTGAAGTTGTTGATGCTTATTGCAAATTTTACAGTTTGGAGTTACAACAGTTGCTCCTAGAATGCGCCCACGCAGCCTAAGCTGACCTACTCTCGGCATGGAAGCAAAAGTGCTCTAGCCTGAACTCCCATTTCACAGACCCGTTCTGACATGACTAAGGTGAACCATTTGACATTTAACCAGCACTTAAAAGTAACAGCCGAACGCGGCCTGCAAAGACAGAGTGCTCGGTGGGCGTAGTGACTGCGGCCAGGTTTGATGTGCGTCTTCTAAAGATAACTGTTACCAGGCGTGGTGACAAATATGGTTGACGACTTCCCAAAAATGTCATCACGTCAAATACAACCACAAGAAGATGAAAGATTTCGCGACAGGCATGACGTCAATACCAAGGGCGCTGTGCCAACGTAATTATACGCTTTCTCAGAAAAGGGCGTTAAAATTATGCCGACTGCCTACTGTGCACTTTTCCTTGACATAATCGTCTCGCCGAGCTGTTTTTAAAAGCATGAAGCCTAACTCATGCCAGATCACCCATTTCAACCTCACAAAAACTCGCATCCCGCACCCGTTACCAACTCAATGTGCTAGCTCAGCTCGGGCTACTGTAAATTAATTTCTGAAATTCCGGCTGGCCGGCGGCGGCTCTGGCGCCCGCCGGTTTCCGGCACGCCGTCGGTCGGTCGGTGTATGTTGGCCCCGTGTCAGCACTGGAGGTGGGGGAGCCAGATCGGGAGCCAAGCGGTCATCGCGAGCCCAGCCAACAGATCGGAAAATGGGCGGGGAATTGAGAATGAAGAGAGGCTATACATACGAAATGGAACTTAGCTGAAATAAAACTCTGATAAAAGATATATTGTGAAAACTATTCTCCGATATTCATCATCATACAGTTTTCTTTGTGGACTGAATCCATTTTGATGCACCTCTATCCGAGTTCCTGAAAGCGCCCCTGCCATAAATGGCTGTAGGCCAGCGGAACGGGGGACCACCGTCCCAGTTCGGTTCCTGGCGCCGCCCGTGCCGCTGGTGGGCGTGGGCCAGCGCAGAGCGACCACCCCTGCCAAGGGGATCTACGCCGCACCGGCACAGAGCTGGCGAAGCTCCCGCTCGCCACGGCCTGCCGGCGGGCTTAGCTGAATGGTGATATGAGTATAATGATTATGCCCTGACTGACCATGGACCATCCCATAAGTGGTAAAAGAATGGTGGGATGAGCAATGAACAGGCGAGAACATGACTCCTTTTGGATGTATCGCTCTGATCTATATCGAGTTATTTTCATGTGAAGGAAATATGCGATGGCAATCGAAATTAAAATGAAAACATCTCTCCAAATGCCATGTCAAATGTCTAGTGTTTATTGTACCCAAAATCCCCAAACGCATTCAACTAACGCATTCAACTAAACAATCTTCATAATGATGAATTTTGCAGTATGAATATGATCGGCCCGGCTACAACGTGCGCACGACCGTGAAGACATAACGCCTTCCAAAGCGGCGTAAAATACTTTAAGAAATGCTCGCAGAGACGCTCCAAGAGAAGGCGCAGAAGAGTTACTGGGAATAAACACATGCCACACTCGCCGTTTGATCCGGCGATCGCTAGCGAGTACGGGAAACCGAAATAAACAGCGCCTATGTTTAGATTGGGGCCCAAAGCGTCGACCCGGGTGGAGATTAATGACATGGCCGAGCTAGTTCGAACTATCGTGCGTGCTCTACACGTTCAATTTACAGGACATCACCGGCTGGGTGGGGTGTGGCTGGATGCTTTATGCCTTTAAACTCGTTCTAACGTTGGTGCATGTTGTTGTTCTCTGTCTGTTAATATGCAACTTAAATGATCATGTTCCGAGAATATTCCAATGACAAATCATCATAAATCGGTTTGCACTGTCTTCAAACCGGATCTAACCTTGTACCTTTTTTTTTGTGCGTCGGTGCCGCCTGAGCTGTTAGCAACTGTCTCGCCTACACTCATTATCGCAAAATCACCACCACTTTACGATAGTAGAGCAGCAACACAACTCAAAAACAGGAACACTCTCGGACACCATCAGTGTTAATGGACCACGGACGAATAACGGCTCTCTGATCATCACACAATCAAAATCAGGGCTGTTTGGGGTGTGACGACTGCCAACGAAATGTCACTGCATCGCTACCAAACTGGTAACTGGTAAAAATTAATGGTAGCTGGAACTGTGTAGTAGCTGATAGCGATTCAGTGAAGACACTCCGTCACCTGAAAGTTTATCAGCTCAGCAAGTGAACAGATTTTCCAGTATCCCCAATCCGCTCACAAGGTCCGTATCAATTTATCTCCTTATTAAAGTAGAGGAACTCCTACGTGCACTTGGCGCTGAAGACTTACCTCCTTGTTGAAGTAGAGGAACCCTTACGGGACGTGGTTGACTTACCTCCTTGTTGAAGTAGAGGAACCGCTACAGGGTTTACGCTGTTGACTTACCTCCTTGTTGAAGTAGAGGAAGCCCTGCGGGCAGTTGACGTTGTTGAAGCTGGCGAAGCTCTTCAGCCGGCCGTCGATGGTCATTGGGTGGAAGCGCAGTTCGCCGCGTGACGTCATCAGGATCCAGTGTGGGTTCGGGCCGCACAGGAACAGCTGGTGGGGGATGGGGTCAGATGGGTCAGCAGAGGTCATCAGCGGGGCATTCACCACTCACCAGGAATCAGACGCGTCAATTGAAGGATAGACATATTAATGACAGGCCCGATGAGTTCAACACTCAGGCCAGGTGAAATTGTTAGAGAACTGCAGCACATCATGCTAAGAGCAAGTCTATCTCCTCTCCTCCCAATACCCCCCCCCCCCCCCCCCACACACACACACAGACATACACTCACACTAACCCATCCTCACACGTCGGACCTTCCCTCCACAAACTCACGCCGTGGAATCCCGCCACGTTGTGGAACTCCCTCAGCAGCAGCGGCGTTCCCTGCTCGACTGTCTCCGAGCTGGGACGGGTCTTACTGTCGGGGCAGGTCGGGACATGGTCAGAACGATATAGGTACCTGACCCACTATCTACTACACAGGGCTTTGGTCAACATAATTAACATTCCTGGCAGAGGGTAGACGTGATTGATGCATAGCCTTGATAAGCCTTGATAGACAGAAGCTTTGGTAGTCAGTTTCAGTCATAACATGGTCAAAGAAACAACATAAAAACACATAAATGTACCGGGTAACATTATACAAACAACCAATAGGCTGCTCTCCCATTATCGTCGGGCTTGGCAGTAACGTCAGAACACGTACCAAAAACCCAGCAAGAGTAAAAACGAACCAAAGCCTTCTCGATAAAAACGTCCCACCGCCACCTTCGCCCTTGTGGCACCGCTTGGCAACAGCCTAATCCCTACCCTGCCCCCTCTCCAAAACCATCCGTCCACACTCCACCTACCTCTTCCTGCTACGTATGATGACATCGTGCGACACGCGTCGAAACTTGAGCTTCAGCTGGTTCTCGGGCAGCCCGTAACAGGGGAACGCCTCGTAGATGAGCAGCTGATCGGCCACCACGGCCGTCAGCACGGGACGCGAGAGCATGTGGCCCATACAGGTGATGGCCAGCTCGCGGATCGGAGCGGGACGCGCCGGCTCACCTCTGTGGAGAAAACGCAGCGAGAGGGGGAAGGTTACGGAGGGAATAGGAGGCTGGGGACTTAGGCGATGTTTTCACGGACTAGCCTACATGATGTAGGAGGAAACGGTAGATACATGAACCTACAGCTGATATGCATTTCAGAAACGCGTTCAATGCCAGTGATTTTTATTTGCAAGGATGCATGTTCCAAAACGGTTTTGAGAAGTATCATTCAAATGCTTAACGCCCCTTCGGTGAGGCTATCACAAGGAAGAGTAAGAAAACAAAAGCGGATTATATTGTACAAAGAGTAGATCGAGAGAGCGCTTTCATCTAGATATCAACTAAATGTGCACGTATGACGTAGTTTCCCGACTCACTCGACAGGTGGCGGCACCGTATCGTGTCCGAGCACAGTCCATCCCTGCGCCAGACCACGGAGCACCAGTAACGGTCGGCAGTCGGGCAGGGAGCAGAGCGAGACGTCGCCGGAGCCGTAGGCCAGCAGCAGCCAGGCAGAGGCGGGGGGCGGCTCCCGCCAACGCTTCCAGCTGAGGGCGGAGAAGGTGGGGTCAGCTGGGGGTCACGGGTGGCAGACGGGACATACATTTTCGAAGGAAATATTATAACTGTCGCGTTTTATGTCATACTTATCAGTGAACACTCCTCAAATAAGCCAACTTCGCAAAACAAACCGACTACGTTGTAAGTCTGTTTAAAGCATGGCTTCAAAAAAGCGCACAACTTATCCAGAATAAATCAAAGTACAGCGAAAATCATTTGCCGACCTTGAACGAAAGCATGTCTCCACACGTGTCATCGCCACCAGACTACTCCCCAACCAGTCCATTATTCATTCTCCCCGCCTTACCTGGGCGGCTCTCCCTCAGCACCGGCAGACTTTTCGCTGTCGGCGGCCGGCGGAGCGGGGAACATGGAGGCCACAGAGTCTCCGTACAGCATCTCGTCCTCCTCGTCCAGCTCCTGCTGTCGCTGACGCTGCAGTCGCTCAGCAGACAAGTCACCAGACTCCTCGGTGTCGCGAACGTACGAGGGGACGGTGGAGGTGAACAGGCCGCTGCGGTCCACGAACGCTGTGGCTAGCGTCAGGTCTGTCGGAGGGAGAGGAGTTACACCAAGGCACCCAGCACTCAGCAGCCAGCAACAAAGGGTCAGTCATGTCGACAGGATGGAGGATAAGATACCTCCGTACTAAGTAATGCACCCGGTACCAATGTGTAATGCCGATTTCTTGTGACATAGAAAAGTTTTTTAGTTAGAGCCAAACACCACTAGAGTCGATATATTACGTTAGTCTACGTTCAGTGTCACACTCACCCTCAGTATCCACATTCGGCACACTCAGCCGTAGTCGGTCGCCGGAGAGCGCCACCAGCGCCACCTGTCCACTCTCAGAGGTGACCACCACGTAGGGATCCGCTATAGATGCCGCCACCAGCGGCGATCCGAGGCTGACGGACAGCGAGTGCACCAGCACTGAGCCGCTCAGCAGCAGCACTGACGACGTGGTCACCTGAAGGACAGGACATGAGTTAGGTGGATGGAGAGACGAGTCACGACCATAGAGTCGCGACGGGTAGTCATAGCAAGTGTGATGCTAGACATGGCTGAGTAGAAAAAGCAGTTTCTCAAAAGCAGTTTTCGAGCAGCGAATCGTCGCGGTGGCAAGTCGTCAAAAATCATAATCCCTAAATGCTGGGTGCAGGTGCTTAAGGCAATATTCTATTCGATATTCATCCATTATTTCTCCTTCCATGGTTTCTGCTTTGATACCGTTTTTAAATTTCATTCGTGTACTGTGACAGCGTCCGAATATCACGGATAACATAACTTCATTGCCCAGATTCAAAATCAACTAAACATACTATAAACCTCTGGCACTTTAACTCCCTACCTATTCCAGCTAACCTCAGACAGTCACCCCACGGCTTTCCTCACCTGAACGATGTATTTCCTGCTGCCCAGGTTTCCCGCCACCACGGTCCTCTCTGCCGTCTGAAAGCCGCTCTTATCCAGCTCGTTGATGGCCTCGCCGGTCTGCAGGACCATTGTGGAGTCGGCTCGACTAAGAAGCAGGAAGGCGTGCTGGTCTCCGGAGCTGGCGGAGCCCGAGTCGGCACCCAGCACGGTCCACATGTCCAGGCAGCCCGGCAGCGGGAACGTCGTCACCACCTGGGAATAGATGGTGAATAAATGTAAACGTAAAAGGTTCTTACGGTTACAAACAGCGATGCACACACGGAAAACTGAATAGCGGTAACATGGGACAAACAAATATATAAACAAATAAACACATAAATGAACTAGAGCAGATGACTGAATGAAAAGCGAACGAGCGTGCGGAAACCCGAAGGATGAACTTAGAAATGAAAGATCAAACTAAAAAGCCAATACCGACCAAAAATATTTTAAAGCAAAATGCAAAAAAAGGAACAAATGAGTAAACAAGCAGAAAAAGCAAGATCAAGTGAATTAAATTTAAATAACATAGAAAGCGAACGATCATAGCACCAGAAAAATGATGACGAGCTGTTACACTTTGATCTTAGCCAAAAGGCCGAGAAGCGATGTATTAATGACCTGTTAACAACCCAAACGCTAGTCCTCTTGACCATCGTCTCTCCCTACCCGGCTCACCTGGGGCCGCACAGAGCGCTGCAGCACGGACAGTGCGCCGTTCTTCCCGTGACCAGAGGTAGTGATCAGCTCGATATCCGGATCCTCCAGAGTGAACTCCTCCGAGAGGAAGGCCGGCTGTCCCATGGAGAGTTGGCCGCATGGACTCAGGTTCAGGATGCTGTCACACACCTGACGAGAGAGCGGATATGAAGGGAAATCGTTAGTGAGCCACAATAAACGTAGCAACGTTTAAGAAGAATTTGTCTACACTACAGTCTAACTTCAACACACATGACCACTACATATTCAGAATAACTAATAGGCTGCATAATTATGTATACATCGCACATCATCCTTTATCTTTGATTGAACATCTCAATGAAGATTGGAATTAGCAATGCAATCATTCAATAATAATGCATATGATTAGTTATAAACCGATTAACTACAGAGAAACTGCATAGTGCAGACACGTATCTTCATAGTCCCTTGCGAGAGCCGCCCACCCCGATAGCCCACCCCTTGGTACATACCCTCTCGCCCTATCCACCCACCTCGAACGTGTACTGCTTCATCTGTGTCTGCGTCATGTCCTCGCTGCCGTACACCTCCAGTTCCTCGAGGTCGAGGTTCTCGACGTTACCCAGCGGTCCGTCGGTGCGGCGCCTCTTCCCGAACGGTTCGCCGTCCCGCTCGCCGGCGGCCTTCTTCTCCTGGACTCTCAGCAGTAGAGAGTTGCCCAGCCGGGAGCCCAGGAACAAGTAGTTGTCGCCGCACATGGTCATCTGATAAAGACATAGGGGAGGGGACGGGTCAGCGGCAGCAGAAAACTAAAGCTATATAATAGTAGCGATAGATTTAGGTGGCAAAACATTGAGGCGACAGCATCAGCTAGTAAATGGAAGGCTGTCCAAATAAAAAAAAAAAATGCCTAAAGATATGTTTTATTTAGGAGCCATTAAGATATAAAAAGAGCTGGCTAGGCCTAAAAAAAAAACATTCAAAATGAAGGAGTGGCTACCCAGTAGCCAATGGCACTGACTTTCATGAAAAGTCACTGAATAGCTTCAAAGAGCTCTAGTAAAAATGAGCACAAAAGGAAGAAATACAGTCTGAAGCAAAAGCGAAAAAGAGCTTTATAAAAACAAGAGAACAATCCCTTGCCTAGCCAACTCCAACCCGACGTTTAGCTCCCACTGATAATTCAATCAGCATCCTACTCGCAAACACAATGAGTACACCCATCGCTACTCACACATGAGGTCAGCACACTGGAGGCGGCCCGCTCAAAGTTGAAGTCGCGCACACTCCGCATGCTGTCAGCCACCAGGGTGACCACGTAGAGTTCTCCGGTGCGTAGTGAGACGACCAGCTGATCAGATGTGACAAACACCGACTGAGCGCAGTCCAGAGACATCTTCACACCCTCGGCGGGCTCTGAGAGAGGGAAGACGAGTGAGGATAGAGCGCGGCGGAGTAGGGTGGCTTATTATTAGCCGGGACAGACGCCAGCAGACGATGAGCAAGCGCAGAATAGTATGTAGTGCTCAAAGTGGCGCATAAATATGCATTATGCCTTTAATTATGACGAGAAGTACGACAAATGGAAAAATGGCCATGAAAAACTGGATAGTGACAGTGAAGCATTTACACGATATTTCACAGACGTCGTCTTATCATCAGCAATAGCAATATTTGCTCACAATTTCTAGAATATATGTACTTTGACAAAGTATTATTTGGAGCACGTCTTTCGGTCACCCCTCATTCCCCAACTCCCTCCCCAACTCACTGAGCGGGAACCGTGTGCTAGTCTCAGTGAGCGTATTCAGCGACACGCCGTACGTCGGTACGCTCTGGTTCAGATAGAGCAGACAGTTAACGGCCAGTACCAGGGCGCCTCCGATGGGTCGCGGCACGGGCGCGATCCTCAGACAGTCGAACGGTAGGTTGGTCACCGTCCAGATCACGGGGTGTACGCGCTGCTCCACGTTCAGCGAGATGGCCACCAGCTGGTAGGTGTCGCGCCGCACTGCCAGACGACTGTGAGGGGGAGGAGAGGGGTGAGTAAAACAGGGGCGAGAGAAGGTAAAGACGACGTGGGGATGAGCTCATTTACGAAAAATATTGAACCTAGTTCACACTTCAAAAAGAGCAATCAAAAAACTAGAAGAAGCATTCATCATTAGGAAACGTAAAAACATGAAGATCTGACCGACTGATATGCCACAGAAAGCTATCTGGTAAGGAGCAGGTCCAGTACGAGTTGGTCTGCGCCGAAAGAGCTACGCAACTGACCAAACGGCGTTCCGGCTGCAAAACTCACAAAGTTTTTTTTCGGTTAACGCCAATGAGTGATAGTCGAACTACGACCGTAAAAGCCATTGTCAGAAGCAGTCCACAGTCGCAGCTAAGTGCGGACTCACCCGGAGAACGTTTTGATGGGCTCGTATAGGATGGCCAGCGTGGGCTCATAGTAGCCGTGCAGAAACTGCAGGTCGGCCACGTTGCACAGTTTCTCGTCCAGTTCTCGCAGGTTAATGACGTAGGAGGGGAGCAGCGGCGCGCGCCGGGCGCCCGTCTCCTCGTCCACCGACGCCTGGTGGAGAGATGGGGAACTACTGAGGCACGCCAGGTGGGCACGGGTGGGAGGGTGCGGATATACAGTGTCCTTCCTACATAGAGCTTCTGCAACAATTACAGTCTAGGGTTGTTAAACAATGACAAAAAAAGAACTGGAATAAGACCGAACTACATGAAACAAGTAAAATCAAAAAATAATCGAGATAATTTTGTACGTGAAACCGTACTATGTCTTGTGGGGAGAATCAGTTTAGAAACGGACACCAACATTTTCGAAAGAATAACAATACTCTTTATAGCACACCCACCTCTCGGCCGAACGGTAGAATGGTACACTCACCTCCCTACCGAACGGTAGAATGGCGATGCGTTTTCCGAAGACGAGTATGGCGGCACACCGGCTCTCCGGGTCGACCCGCATCTGCATTCCGATGGTCTCAGTGGCGCCTCCCTGAGCGACAAATGGAGAGAAAAACTCAGTCACGGTGAAACAAACAAGATCGAATTCAACTGCTAATAGTCAACATTTACGAGCTACATGAAAGTTTCCTAACATTATTTAGGCAAAAAAAAAAAATGCACACCATAGTACTACTTCTGTAATTCTTGGTCTGCAACCAATGATTTTGCTCTTTGCCTCATCTGTCCTATATTCTTCACCAAACCATCCCTCCCCATTTCCTCCACTCTCGCCCCAACCTCTCCCGTGCTCACCCGCAGTTCGTCCTCCTCGAACATGTGCATGGAGACGGTGGTGAGGTCGTGCCGCAGCGGGTCGTACTCGCAGATCGACAGCTTGCCCTCGTCAAAGCCGACTAGTAGCGAGTCGCGCCGACTGCCCGGCAGCAGCGCCGACGCCAGCGCCGCCACGCGGCCGAACAGAGGAAACGACAGCAGGCACTCCAACCGAGTCTTCGGACACTCGCCTGAAAAGTGGAAATGAACACTCATGAGTAATGCATTAGAAATAAATGCTAAAAAAAAGAAAAATGAAAAATATTCTGAAGAAGCATTATCATTATGAAATAGGATCCTGGTCTTCAAAATGCTTATAACTGCAATCTCCAGACCAAAAACACACTAAAAGAACAGCTTATGAGGTCATTAGTCATTGCCCATACAAATACCAGCTCCAGTCTTCAACCAATTCACCTTTTTCTGAGGACTGGAGCTCCTCTGGCTCTGGCACCAGGCGGAACACCTTGAGCATGTTGGAGCCGGCCACGACCAGCTGCTTGTCCCCCTGACCCATCAGGTTGCAGTAGAGGCTCAGCTCGATGCCCGTCGGAGGGTGCATCGTCTTGTGGATCGAATACATGGCAGACATGGCTGGAGAGTTGTCCTAGTGACCTGAAAAAGGGGAGAGCGCACGATCAGGCTAAAATAGGTACTTCCATTGCTCCATCTGGTCAAACGATCTAAATGACGATAGCACCAAATATATATACTGCAACTGACACCCAGATTTTGAAGTGTGGCAACAGTTGATGAGCCACACCAGCTTAAGTGACAAATGTGCACCAGCTTACGTCATGCACTGGACAAGAAATCTGCACCAGTCTGTGCTGAATAAGACTAACTCACAGTTTTTATAACAAAATAAATGTTTACACTTTTAATTTAAAAACCTGAATCAAAATGTTGACATTTTCTACTCTGGAGTATGAGTAGGAATCTTGAAGATTTTGGCAACTCCAAATATAACTCTGATAGGAACTACATGCCCTAACCAGGACCGACTTCACAGGTATTCTCAGAAAGGTACCCCCATTTTTATGGATTGCAAAATCTCATCACATCTGCATTGCTCTCAGGGGGTGCCTGGTCCAAGGTTGGGGGGGGGGGTAAGGCAAGCTGTCCTGCTTGCCCCCTGTGGCAATGCTAATAAAAACTGCAATCAAATGTCAATCATACCCTAAACTCTAGCCATCCCCAACGTGCCAATGTTTGATACTTTAAGCCACAAATGGCAGATCCGTGCAAAATCCACAACATACCGCAATAAATCCACACTGTCTGTGCAACAGCTGATTGCAATTGTCTCAACATTGATAAAATCTTAGAGAAATTGCAATGCTAGCTCAGTCTGGACTGACAGTTGACACTAATACCAGCTCACTGCAAATAATCTTCCTTCACTTAGATACAGAAAAAGAACGATTTGGAAGACAAACTCAAACTGAATGAACCAGAAGTAACCAGCAAGCACACCAAAACCTATGGATAACGGGATACTTTGTTTTTATCTTAGACGATTGTTATCCATTCCTGCCATGGTGAGACCTAAATACAGTTCTTACCAACTTATTTATTCGAGTAAATTGCAGCGATGCTGATGCAGAACCGTGCCAGTGACAGTAAAGAGAGGCCACAGCCCCTCGCGTTTACAGAAAGAAGTACCAGCGTTAACAAGAGGTTATCTTCAGCTTTTCGAAGAATAGCATTATGCTGACTTCGTTGAAGTTCTTAAAAGTATCAGAGTTTTTTTCCGGATAGAAGTATCGAATCGTTTACTTCCACGCACGTCCCCCGGGCAACGTGTGTATGTTTTAGGGCCTTGGTGTGTACTGGGTGTGTACTGTCTTCACTCAATATACCCTGTGTACTGTCAACGAGCGCGTCGAGCGCGTCGACCGGCGATGGCGCGTTTCGAAACAGCTGCGGCGAGAGCGTCTTCCTCAAAAGAATAAGACGCCACAAGCAAATCACCATAGAGGATTCGACACGTATGCACAGTGTTCATAATTAATATTTTTGACATTTTATCGCAACCTGTGCTTTAAAACAGGGGTGGAGAATTAGGGGTTTTGGGGGTGCTCAAGCACCCCCTGAAATTCAACAGTCACCGTGCAATAGTGCTCCAGGAGTGCTTAGCTTACGTCTGAGACACAAACTGCTTTGCGTAAGCCGCGAGGTGAGTGATGCTGCTTGGAAAACGTACCTACACGTGCTTTTCTACGCAAGAATTCGAAGCTTCCACTCGCCAGATGCTAGAAAAGCACCCCCTGGGATTATGACAATTATCCGCCCCTGCTTTAAAATTTTGCTACAACATTCAAGTGAATCACTTCAGAGCAGCTTTGACTTCAAAATTTAGAAAATTACAGCCCCACTACCCTGAACAAGTGAACACGACACTGTCGAACCAATAACAAACCGATATTGCTTCAGCAATCAGCCATGCAGACACAGAGCTGAGCTAGATTCTACAGCTATTTCAATGGTGTATTTTAGAGTCTGTGCTATGTGCTCTAATTTGAAACATCCTTTTCAAATGCCTTGATTTGATAGGTTTCAAGGTCGTGGGAACTCAGCATGTTTATTGTTTAAAGGGACCCTCCCACCTTAACATTAGATTTGAGTTGAGATAGCCAAATTGGTGGCCATGGCCTGAAAATACCGGTTTGGGCACTCACAACATCGAAAAATGCTTTAATTCGGAGATATCGAATTTCAAACTTGCAGTTTTCGGATTCTAAGGGGCTAATGCATTCGTATGCCCCCTTAGAATTTGTGACGTCAGCGGAGATCGAACGATTTTAAATCTTTTACTAAAACGTTTGGTAGCACGCGGTGGTATATGCTGCTTTGCGCGCAACAAATGCCGCACTTTCAAATAAAGTCGCTAGGAACAGCGGAGATCCCAAAAAGTAAACAAAAGTAAAAGTCTAATATCTTGAAAACCGGTGAATATTTTTCGATGAAATTTGGTAGATATTCGTTTTTGCTCTTTCTGAACCGAGCGACATCACTTTCATGCCAATTCATTAACTTTTTTGAAGGTGGGAGGGTCCTTCAAAAAAAAAGGTAAGGCAAATGTCTCCGATAGGCGATAAACTCGGGCCTAACTAGATTTAGCCAAGGCAGTTTTACCGATTTAGCCAGCTTTCCCCTTCCGTCTATTCTCTCCATCCGTTCCCTGATATCCCCCTCTGCCCGGTCCGCTTACCTCCTGCATTTTCATCCCAGCCTAGGGCGTATCATATCAATATGCAGTGGCGGATCCAGAGGGGGCCATGGGGGCCATGGCCCATGCCTGATGCCCCCCCCCCCTTGGGCCTCCCGGGGGCACCATCACGGAGTTTTTTTTTTAATTCATCACTGAGGTCACCGACGGGAGCTCCATCCCGAGGTCTGAGGGCAGAGTGGGCACCATCCCGAAGTCTCCGTGGGCGCCATCCTGAAGTCTGTCTCCGGGGGCACCATTCCAACTTTCCAGGGGCACCATTCCGAACTCCGAGATCTGAAGGAGCACTATCCCCGGGTCTGATCGGGCACCATCCCGAAAAGTAAGTGGCCGAAATTCGTGGATTTTTTAGGGGGGGGGGGCACCAAATGCCAGGGGGCACCACAATACCGTATGCCCCCTTGACGAAATCCTGGATCCGCCACTGATTATATGCCTTCTGAATAGCCCCATCCATTGGTGGCCTCGTCTCGGTCCGCCGTCTCGTCCGTCGTCTCTGTCCAGACAAACCCTCTGGCGTGACAACGAGCCATGGTTGTGTATATTTCATCTCACACGGGCAGAGGGGTCGCCGACCGACAACCGACAATGATTGTATATACACAGTTTAGCAAAGAGAGGACACTGCACGCGGGCCCCTCCGCTCCGCAAGACCGCTCCCCACTCGCTGCAGTGTAAACGTCCTGCACTGACAGCTCGGCAGCCGGCAGGCTTGCTTGCAGTACTGAAGATCATGCCCACGAGTAGTTAACTATTTGGCGTATGTTTGGGGAAGGTTTTAATAAGACGCCATTCGAGTGCCCAGTTGCAGCCTCCGCATTGCGTAGTTCGAGCAGAGGGAAAGGGACGTTGTTACCAAACTCAGGACAATGACACGAGAAACAAGAAAAACGACAGCCTTCGAGATGAAGCGAACTAACAAAACGGCTCGGTGACCTCAAACGACCGCACTCTCTACCAAAACGACACAGAAACACAAACACTACTGACTCACGGCAAAACATATGGCACTCGTATTACAGCACACACTTATGCTAGGCAGCCGTGAAAACGAGACATGTGTCTAGAGACTGCCTCCTAAAAGCACGAGAAAAGATCGTGTTACGTCGTATCCCTTACAGGAAAAATACTGAAGCTGTTAACGTCTAGCAAAGTGGTGCACGCTTGCATCAACTTACGTAAATAACGAGATAAGGCACAAACGGTCGCTGCTAAGGCCTCGGCAACTAAAACCGTAACCACGCTTCACCGAGTCCAGAATCTACAAATGTACCATCTGGCGCCCAGCAGATGTACAAAAAGCACCTCGTAAAAGCGGCGCACCAGCCGGCGGCCTCTCGCAAGCCGCAATCCCTGACACTGACCTCTGCTCGATGTAGCCAGCCAAATAAGGCACGCGAGTTACACTGACACCGGCAAACTGCAGCGGTTCAACGACTCATACCTCACCATCGCCCTGCTACACGCTCTGCTCCGCTGGAAGCTCTTCTATAGCCGCCGGCTCAGACGATCGGCACCTTTCTGGGCTCATCGCCCGGGCCCGGTACGTCGGGAGTCGCCTGCTCCGACTCGCCCTCCTTGCCGGGGCCGAACGACTTGAACTTGGTGCGCAGCAGGTCCAGCTCGGCGCCGATGCCCGACTTCATCTGGTTGAACTCGGAGACGACCAGCGAGAGACGACCCAGTAGGAAGTTGAGGTTCTCCTCCACCTCGCCGACCCGTTTGGCCACGTCGCCGACAGTGCCGTCCACCTGGGCAAGCGCAGAGAGGGGCTACATCGGTTAACGGGTCAACGGTCTCAGCCAATTTTATTGCTTATTGAATAATCTTAATATTCATTGTGATATAAAATCTCAACGAAACAGCTAAAAAATATGAATATCTAAGTTCACCGATTTCAAGACTCAGCAACAGCTCGAGCATTCAAGCAGATATGATTAAATAATTCCGCTATAATTTCGCTGCCGTTTAGCTATGCTGCTATAATATACATTATATCTTACCTTCTCGGTCTTCTCGAGTGTGCCGTTGACATACTGCGTCGTCTTGTCGTCAATCTTGTCCAGCACCTGAGCAGACGTGGAGAGGGTCTGATACATAACTCCAATCTGACGCCACACCTGAGCGATCTCTGACTCAATCGATTTGGTCATGTTGTTCAGCGCCACCGACTGGCTGGCCAGAATCTCCTCGGAGATGGTGCCGAACTTGGAGGAGAAGGTGCCGTTGATCTTGATGCCCTGCGCCCGGACGGCAGCCTCGACCTCCAGCAGGATCTGCTGGACGCCGTACTCGAGTCGCCGCTTGGTGTCCAGCACGCTGTCAGCCGTGTCCACCATCACTTCCTCCAGGTTGGACAGACCTGCCGCAGAGCAGGGGAAACGGTCATCAAAGGTCATCCAAGGCGGTCACAGAGCAAGGAGCAGAGGAAGGAGTACACTCAACTGCGGATAGACAACTAAACATAAAGAAACGTTTGCAGGGAGTTCGTTATAAAAGTTGAAGTTTCTCTTGCGGAGTCACAAAATCATACTTATTCAATAACTTAACTGAAATCCTAGAACGGTTGACATAGGCGGCGGAACGGGGAGGGCACCGGGGCACCGTGCCCCCCTTTGATTTTGGCATTTTAACATTAGCCCTATGGGCGTTGCATGGAAAGAATGGGACCAAAAGTCGGCAGTGCCCCCCCCCCCTTAATTGAGGTGTTCCGCCGCCACTGACGGTTGACCGGCCCACACGCCCACTGAGCCGATACGTACCCTGGATTTCTCCCTTGAGCTCGTCGTATCCCTGGCTGACTCTGTCGTACAGGCCCTCAGCCATCACCATCGACTCTTGCACCATGTTGGTCAGCTGCGCCTGGCCCTCCTTCAGCGTCTCCACCTGGGTGTTGACCATGCGGTCACGCTCCTCGCCAATCTCCTTCAGCTGAAACAAGACATGGAGACCATACAGTCGGTCAAAATTTAAAACGTTTTTTTTTACACCATCCTGTGTATTAGTTGTAACAACGTTTAATATGTATGACAATTTAGTTTACTATAGTTTTTTTTTTCTTTTTTCACTTTTATTGACAAATCGTACAAATATGACACAAGTACATCTATAATAATCGAAGGCTCTCCAGCCCAACAAGGACAATCTCATGTCATGGTTTCTGACGCCGGTTTTCCGTCTATGCTAAACAAGCGCCCCAGATTGAGGCGTTTAAACTCGCAAACGCCTGATATGCACCGACACAATAGGGCTTTCAAAACCCCCACAACGTGCGAGTAATATTTGGCAAGCGTACACGCTGGCATATACATACAGTGTTGGCAATATACACAAAAACGGAAGCCACATTTCAGCTGCATTTTGACTGGGCGGCGGCCGAGCTATAAAAATACCTATAGCTCGCCGCCACCACCACGCGACGCGGTGTGGCCCGCCTGGCCAAGCCGGGGCGTTGTCCCATCATGGACTAAAGAAAACGCCCCGGCCCCGGGGAGATCTGGGGGATACCTCCCCAGCCGGGGAGAGCTGTGGGTTACCTCCCCGGCGCTCCAGGCGGGCCATCAGCCACCGCCCGCGCCGCCCGGCGAAGGGGTATCGCGGGCGGCGCCCCCTATCCACCGGCCGGGCATGCGAGCCGTCGACTTGTAGGGCCGGCGCCCCGCACGCCCGGCCGGCCGACCGGCCCCAGTCAAAGAGGCCGGTCCCGGGTTGGCCCGGATGGGTCATGGGAGCGGTGGCTGATTTTTTGCAGTTTTTTCCATACATTTCTTATACAATCACCGTGAACCACACACACACACTATCATATATTTGCGGTATGCTCTGTGGGCCGAGGCGAGCCAAGGAGCCAGTTGGTTTCGCCCCTTCTCTGACCTATTCTTGTCGACCACTTAGCATTAAAAGAGTTCATTTTATTGTTCACCTTTGCCCAATACATCTCACTTGTCTGATCTATCGTAAGTATGGTTATAAGTGTGTCTACCGAAAGTCTCCTCCCAGAGTAAATCATGTACACGCCTACACTAACAATATGGTTTATAATCGCATTTTCTGTGCCGCCTAGAATTACCTCCTTCACCCTGGTTATCCTTTCTGGTGTGTTTATCTGAATTCTGGTCAACCACGCTTCAACATTGTCCCAGAAAGCCTTAATCCTCGAACAATACCAGAATTTATGTTCTATATTTTCACGCTCCGTACAATAACTGCATGAATCGGTTCCCATTAATCCAATTTTGTTCAGAAAGCTGTTTGTTCCTACTGTTCTTGTAATGATTTTATACCTAACTGCTCTATACTGCTGTGGAGTGCCCCTGAGACTTCTGTATATTTGCTGCCAATCGATTTGACCCAGCCTTCTCTCCCAGGACATTTCCCATATGTTTCTGACATCTCTCACTCTTTCCTGTCTGAAGACATTTTTTAAATGTGATGTACCCGTGTTTCTAGAAATAATCAAGCTTATTAATGGATCTATACTTGGTCCAAATAACTTCACCTTTTCTCCCGATTCCTTCCATTCTCTAGGTAAGCTACTTATTAGTGTTGCATAATCCAGAAAAGTGGTTGTAATGTTGTAGGTCCGTTTTAATTCCTCAAAACCTAGTAAAGATCCATCTGTTTTTAATAAGTCATTCAACGATCTGATGCCTTTGACATACCATTCTTCAATCCATGAAGTTTTGAACTTAGTAGTATCAGAAAAAAAGATAGCTGTGGAGTTTAGCTCCACGACACCTAGCTTCTGTGAGCATATTTCCCTGAAATTTGCTAATGCTATCATCACGTCTCTCCAGAATAGATTCTTAGTACGAGATGCCTTTCTTTTCAAAGCTGTTTGACCCATTTGCCAGAAATATATATTTTTACCCGTACTTTTCTGTGCAACTGCGTTCCATATTCCTTGCTTTACAATGCACCTCCTAATCCAAGATAGCTTCAAGGCTCTCATATAACTTGTTAAATCAACCATGTCCACTCCTCCATTGAGATGGTTTTTCATCAAAGACTCCCGTTTGATTTTTTCTCCTTTTCCATGCCACAGAAAGCTGAAAAGAGTCTTGTTAAGATCTTTGATATTTTTTTTTTGATGGGTCAGGGAGCGTTGTGAGCAGGTGACTAATCTTGGAGATCAGCATCGATTTTATTATTACCACTTTTCCTTCCAGTGATACGTTTCTGAACTTCCATTTCGTTATTTCTCTTTTGATTTCCTTTACCTTCTCTGTGTACAGTTCTGTTACTTTTTGCAGTTCATTATCGAAAGTGACCCCTAGGACTTTAATCGTTTCACTCCACTTTACAGCTAAATTTCTCTGAAGAAAACGATTTTCTCTGCATGCCTTCCCTATCCACATAGCTTGAGTCTTATCGAGGTTTGGACTTAGTCCCGAATACTTCGCGAACCATCCTATCTCTTGGAAGAGTTCCATCATGCTTGTTTTCTCTGGTTCGAGTAAACAAATCGTATCGTCTGCATACATGAGCACTTTGTGCTCCTCATTGTCTATTTTAATTCCTTTGATAGCTGCATTTCCTCGTATCTTTTTCGCTAAAACGTCCATCACAAGAATAAACAAGTAACAACTTAGCGCATCCCCCTGTCTACAAGACCTTGTTAGCATTATTTTACTCGACAAATGACCATTATACAAAATTCTGGAAAAAGCTCCAGCATACAGTGTGTTGAACCAATGTGTAATACTATGCGGAAAGTTTTTCTGCTCCAGGACTTTTTTAATGAAAGTCCAACTGACTGAATCAAAAGCTGCTTCTATATCCAGACTTACTAAGACCCCGTTCTTTTGTTCTTGATTCAAGAGTTGGATAACGTCGTAAATCATCCTGATAATATAGATTGTCCCCAATAAATCTCCCTTTTAAATAGGCAGACTGGCAATCCTCGAATGATTATGTCTCTTAGCACGAGTTTTAATCGATTTGCAATAGCACCTGAAATGATTTTGTAGCTAGTATTTAGGAGTGTTATTGGTCTATATGACTTGATCAAATCTCTGGGTCTATTTGGCTTAGGTAACAACACGATTATTCCTTCTTTTAAAGTTAGAGGAACTGTACCCTTTGTGGCACTCTCAACTACCATAGCATGAAAAAAGTGTTTTAAGTCTGCCCAGAAGAATTTATAAAACTCTACGGAAAAACCGTCACTACCTGGAGACGTTCCATTTTTCATTCTCTGTAGCGTTGATCCTAATTCTTGCATGTTCAACGGCTTATCTAGATTGAGCTTGTCATGGTCATTTACTTTTTTAATATCCATGTTTGATAGATATTCATCGTAATTAACTCCCTCTAAAAACTCATCCTCACTTTTGAACGTTTTTTGATAAAATCTACGGAATAGATCAAGAAATTCTATTTGATTCCTTGTGCAGCCTGCTGACGATCTGATGCATGGTATCCTCTTACTTTCGTACCTCCTTTTTTCTAATGTAAGAAAATACTTTGTTGGTTTTTCCGCATTTTCCCTCCATACAGCTCTCGCCCTAACCAAACTCCCTTCCAACTTGATCCTCCTTACGTCTTCCAATTCCTTTTTCTTGTTTTGTATCTGATTGTACAATGAGTGAGTACCTAAAGCGTCAAGCTCTTTCTCTAAAAGAAGTATATCTCTTTCCAATTGGTTTTCTCGCCTTCGTTCCTCCCTTCTCTTCCTAATGCCGAAAGAGACTGTTTCTCTTCTTAACGTCAGCATCAGAGTTTCAAAAAACAAAGATGAATCAATTGTCATTTCTATCTTTGTTGAGGTCTCCAAAATGTAGTCATGTGCGTATACGGGAAGAGCGTATTCTACTACCGTACTCTTTATTGTATCTTTTATCATTTTGACGTAATTTTTGTCTCTTAACAATGATGCATTGAATTTAAAGAGTCCTCTTCCCCTCGGCTGCTTTGAGAAGTCCACCGTCAATGTAATAATGGAGTGATCCGATCTATAACCTGGTTGAATGTCCGCCTCATCAACATAACTTTCCAGAGCAGCACTAGTAAGAAACATATCCAGTCTCGCCTGCTTTACTATTGGGTTTCCAACCCGCCAAGTATATCTTCGGTTTTCAGGATTTTTTTCTCTGTATATGTCTATCAATTCATTTTGTACCATCATTGCTTTTACTGCTTCTCTAGCTCGAGTGTTGTTTTCTCTTCTATAGTTAAAGTTATCTAACTGTTGATTTAGAGTTACATTAAAGTCACCCCCGATAACGACTGGTGTATCTGCGTCCTCTATGGTTGCATTAATGCTCTCGCTCAAAAGTTCGAAGAAATTGGGCTCGTCTGTATTCGGGCCGTAAATTGCTACCAGACATAATTCGAATTCTTTCTGGATTTTTGCCTTTGTAATGATGAAGTTTCCTCCTTCATCAATCATTGTCTCTCCGAATTCTACGTCTAAGTTTTTCGTAAGTATTGCGACTCCTCTTGCATTGTGCGTGTATGGTGCTACTATGACTGATGATCCCCAAGCGTTCCTAAAATAAGGCACCCCTATCTTTTTGCAGTGGATATCCTGTAGGAAGCAAATATGAAAGTCCTGGTTTCTTAGATATTGGAAAACATCCTTTCTTTTCTTGAAATCACCTAACCCTCTGCAATTAAAAGATGCGAATCTAATTGCACTCATGGTGAAGTTTTTGCGTTCCTTTCTTATTTCCAGACCTTTGCACAACTTGCCTTGACCCACAGAGACTCCGCTTAAGCGCGATGGTACATTGAAACATGGTAGCAAACAAACATGGTACAAACCTTGTAGCCTGTCGTTTAAGACAAATACAATATACATGCGAAAGTGTATGCCATGGCAAAGGTTGTATGAAGAGCAACTGACATGTGTTCCTCGTTCCCTCGTTCCCATTAGCCCACAACTCTATACAGGTAATCCCTATCCTATCCATATATAGCCTAACCGCCTTGATTGACTTGGAATGGCACCTCATTTCAGGTAGGAGCGTATATCAGATGCTCCTCTCCTCAAACCCGATTCCCCTCGCACCAAACCTTCCCGTTGTTCTTTATCTCTATCAGTCTGATAAACCTGTTTTGCTAGAAGGGCCCGTTGGTAGGCGCCCTCTTGACCCTCACTTCTTCCTTCTCTCGAAAGATGTCGTTCTACTTCTGCCTGCGCCTTCCCATCGTCCCTCTGTCCCGGAGGAACGCTTGTAGTCCGCCTCACCACTCTATCGCGCACACCACCGGTCCCCCTCCCCTTCCCTGCCCCAGCCACCCCACCTCTGGCCCTCGCTTGACCCGAGCTCCCATCCCCACACGGAGGTGAGTTCAGGTGCACTGGGAGGGCGCGCGCGCTGCCCCGGCCGGACGGCTCACCGTTGACCACCGGCTGCTCTCTCCTGTCGATGTCGGCGTCTCGTTGGTTAACCTCCCCCTGGCCGCCGGGACGCCGTGCCAGAGGCGACTCCAGGCCAGGGGTTCCGTGCGACCCCGAGCCGTTCCTCCTATGCCCGACCAAAGACGCCGCCCCAGCGGTCCCGTCAGACGGGTCAGGCATGTCGACATCCCGCTGGTCCGCCCGGGGGCCCGCCGCGGCGTTCGTCTGCTCCGGCAGAGGCGGCTCCCGGGCCTCGCTACCCAGCTCGCACGTAGGCAGAGTCGTGGTCCGCTCGGCTCCCACGCTCTCTCCCAGCACGGAGGGACCGGACACCGCGGGCAGCTCACCCGCTCGCCCAGGGTCACGTGACCCAGGCCGGTCGGTCTCAGGGGCGACCCCAGGACCCGCCGCTGGGGGAGGCACCGGCTCTGTAGAGACATTTCTCACCAGCTGTGCCAGGAAGTGTTCTGCTTCCTCTCTGTTTTTGGCCCGCATGAGTCGCTCATTTTTTGATCTTGCAAACAGCACTTCTCCTCCTCTGGTTATAACCGTTGAGATTTTTCCTTCCCTTCGCGCTTGGAGGAGTAATTGAAACGCCTCCTGCCTCATCGGGGTCAGGTTTTCATTAATGAAAACTTTGTGACCTCTCAGCTTGTACTTGTTGCGAAATATCTCATCTCTGATTGATCCCCTTTCGTCACTGGCAAAAGTGATCAGCACTCGGTTTCGTGGCAGGACTTTTGCGGAAATGATATGAGCTGGGTGTACTTCGAGCTCCAGCATTCTATTTATCATCGCTGACATTGCCGCTATCATTCCGCGTTCATTTTGTGGGATATGCAAGTCCCTCCCTGAGAAAATGAGCTGTGTTCTTCTTCTCAGTTTCTCACTATCCTCTTTTTCCTGTTCTAGCTTGGCCACTCTGTACGCGAGATTTTGCCAATCGTTGTGCAGTTCAGCTAGCGCCTTTTCCAGCGAGTTCACCTTTTGTGTCGTTACCGTAATCGTTTCCAATGCAAAGCTCAAAGATTGTTCTATTGCCTTTATCCTTTCATCAAGAGCTCTTTTGATCTCCGTTACAGCCTCACCGGTTTTCTCCTCTATGAAGGCTTTGAGCTCTTCTATCGTTCCTTCCTCTTTCTCCGGAGTTCCCGATTCGTGTCTTCTTTTCCTCTGTTTTGTCATCACGGCCAGTCACCGTAGGCACTTTAACATGTAACCAAAACCACAGCACTTTGGTTACTCTCTTTCACTCTGCCTCGCGCTCACTGCTCTCACTTGACGGCACGCGCGGAGCGCACGCGCGCACGTCCGCTCGCCTCGGCTGACCTGCCGCAACTCTCTAGTTTACTATAGTTAGTGAATCCGGACATGGCTTATGAGTTGACTCATGAGCCGGGCAAGCGAGACAATATTTTCTCGACCCGGTCCGATTCAGCACTCAGCAGATTGTGCAGGAGAGGTAGACTGTTCCGCACGACACGCGTGCTTTCCGGCACAGCATACCTATCCCCGTCGCCAGCCACCGCAACTCTGAGGCAGGAGTTGGGCAGGAAAATCACGGGACACTCAAAGAGGATCTGTGGCTCTTCTGAAAGATGATATGAAAACTGAAGGCTCTAGGTCTCTAAAGCTCTGAGAATCTGGAGCTCTGAGGCTCTGAAGCTCACCTCTGTCTTCAGCTGGCTCAGCTCGGATGAGGTTGAATTGACGACCGTGGCGATCTCCTGCTGCAACTGCGACTGCAGATCTCCGTTCTGACTGCTGCTCGTCTGGTAGTGGCTGCTGAACAGCTCCACCTAGAGAAGAAATCATAAATTAGTGATCAGTATCACATGAGCGTTTTTTTTTTTACCAACTCCTCGCAACTATTTAAGACATTTAAAATTGTAAGTGAGAGAGAGAGAGAGAGAGAGAGAGAGAGAGAGAGAGAGAGAGAGAGAGAGAGAGAGAGACAGAGAGAGACAGAGAGAGAGAGAGAGAGAGAGAGAGAGAGAGAGAGAGAGACAGAGAGAGACAGAGAGAGACAGAGAGAGACAGAGAGAGAGACAGAGAGAGACAGAGAGAGAGAGAGAGAGACAGCGAGAGAGAGAGAGAGAGAGAGAGAGAGAGACAGAGAGAGACAGAGACAGAGAGAGACAGAGACAGAGAGAGACAGAGACAGAGACAGAGAGACAGAGACAGACACAGAGACAGAGACAGACACAGAGACAGAGACAGACACAGAGACAGAGACAGACACAGAGACAGAGACAGACACAGAGACAGAGACAGAGACAGACACAGAGACAGAGACAGACATAGAGGCAGAGATAGAGACAGAGACAGACTGACTGACCTGTCGTGCGTCCATCTGCTCCTCCATACGCTGCAGGTCCTGACGAATAGCGCTGACGTCGTCAGCCACCAGGCGGCTGTCGTTTCCGAGTTTGTGCGAGTTGTCGATCAGCACCCCGACGCCGACCGAGAACTGGGTCAGGATCATCTCGGCGTCCTGCGAGTGACCGGGGTCAGGTCGGGTCAAACGGGGCGGTCGGGCTGAATGAGGGTCGGTAGGGGACGGGTTGGAGTCAACGGAGTTGGACCTGGCGAGTTATTTTGATACTTGTATCGTGAGGGTCGTTTCACTGGTCATGTCATAAAATTTGAAATTTGATTTTATTATTCAAATATCCCGCTTGAAAATGAGCGCTGCTCGTCATTTCTTCAATCCCTTGAATTGCACAATTTAAGCGATAATTTTTATCAATCCTTCGAATTAATCGTCCTTAATCAAGTTTTAAACATACCGCCGTTAGCTCATTAGAACTCGACATGCTGGCGACCCATTCCTGATTTCATCCCCATTACCTTGGTGTGTTTGGCCAGCTTGGCCTCGGTGTCGAGCAGGGAGGTAGACGTCTTCTGCAGGTTCGAGCTGAAGCCGGACGCACTGCCCAGGCTGTTGCTGAGGTCGTTGATCATGACGTCCTGCCTCTCCAGGTGCGACATCACCGTCTCCCGCGACGTGATGGCCTCGTTGAACAGAGCCGTCATCCTGTTTTGGAGAGACGTAAAAAAATAAGCTAGGATGAACGTCTAAAAATCACGCTAAAACTAACGTAAGAACGTGACCCAAACCAAGTAATTAGATATGTTGGATGTGAATTCGTGAATAAATCTCACTAAAAAAAAATAATGACAAAAACTGAATATTTATAGCCAGCTAGTACTGCTCGAATGCCCTCTCGATATAACGTAGCAATTAAAAGATACCCAAAGTTCCCATAGCTTCATGAATTCGGAAGCTGTCTAACAGATCTCCGAGCCGTTTTATCAGTCTAACCTGTGGTTGAGGTTGCCGTCCAGGGTGGTGAGCTTGGTCATCACCTCATCCGAGGTGTCAGAGCCCCTGCCGGCCCTCGCCTGCAGCGCTCCAGTGCCCTGCTCCCTCACCAGGTCCAACAGCTGGTCCATCTTACGGTCGTTCTGAAAATGGAAAAATGGAAATGAAAATAAGACGCTGCAAATTGTGAGGCATCGTCAACACGAGGCTTGTTGTCAAACAGTGGAACAGAGTTCAGTCTTCCAACGTGTTCAGCTAAGCAAAGCAGCATTCAACAAACACAAACAACCTGACACAAAGGACAAACTCGGATGTCATCCTTGCAAAGTTGAGTGTCACGGTTGAGCCGTTCGATGACGGAGTATGTTGACGCCGTTTTGACGTCTTGTTTGCATACCATGTCAACGAACAATGTGACCACACCATGACAGCCACATCTTTCGTCTCATGTGACCCACCGAAGTGGGGCTGCAGTGATGCATATCTGTTTATTATGCTCGAACTATATGAGCCCATATCATAATAAAAACCAGAAACGGCTCATACTATTGGTATATGCAGCAAGATCAAAGTCCAGCAGAATTCATGCAGGCTTAGAAGAATTATCCCGAGTAATTACCTGACTTTAGTTCCCGTATTTGGATAAGTGCCTGAGCCGTCGCAGAAAGAAAATCGTCCGTTTCCACTTGTAATACCGTTTTACGTGTCATGGAAGCTAATTCTCAGCGAACACATTCATAAATTTGTTTTGTAAAGGAGCCCCGGGCAATAAACTTATATAACAAATTTGTCAGTCTGAGATCATGTGGCATAACTAACATCGAATAAACACACCACGGTGCACGGTTGAGTCATTGAGCCGCAGAAAGCACAAATAAAAATAAACTCCTAAGCAACGACCTTGAGGTCATGTGTTCTCTATGACCACCAGATCATCTGCATTCTGCATGTCAGCTAGCGCCCGCCTTCCCTTACTCTCTTCAGCTACACAAACAGACTCATCCTGTGTGAATCATCACCTCATGTCCGCAGATAACGGCGCCTCTCATCTCTCAGATCTGACATCAGTGGCCGTCCCTGTCCCGACAACTCCTGCTCATGACTCTCAACCGTCACCGCACTCTGACGTCATCAGGGGTCACCGAGGTCACCTCTGTGTCCTGCGGCACGTGCCACAGGGCGAGCGGCACATCAACAAAGAGACGCTGCATCCAGTGAGTGATGTGCAGTTCCCGTGAAGACGGGCGGACGAACAGGATTTGGAAACTTGATAGCGAGGGCGCTGGTCGTTGCGGTTAGGTGTCTTCTCGTGTTACCAATTAGCATCATGTGGTGGCTAACGGACAGGCACTGGGCATCAGTCCCTTTTGGTGATTGCAGAACAGAGAATTGGGGCTTGAACGGATGAATGTTGTTCTGTCGAATGGTAGTAAGTTGAATGTGCCTGTCTGTTTGCCTGTATTTCCATCCATGGCTTCAATGCCGTTTCACATATCCGCCCCCCAATGCCCTGTCACACCTAAATATCAATTCGCTGAGTTATCTTATAAATAAAAGCTGACAATCCAGTTTTCAAATACGCACTACACGAATAAAGGAAAAGAAGTAACCGTACGACTCGTACGTATATAAGTTATAACTCGCCGACATGATCCCTATCGGGACTAGTGAATGTCCAGGCATAAACAGCGCATTTGTAAAAATGTCTATGTTTTTAGCTCACCTTGACCAGGGCCTGTTCCATTTTGATGAGCCTGGCCTCCATTTTGGCCATGTAGACGGCGATGCTCTCCACGTTTCGGCTCTGACCGGCGGTCTGGGTGACGATGGCACGCAGTGTTTTGGTGGTGACGTCATTCACCTGTCGTGATCTGCAGACAAACGGCGGGATATAGGATTTTAGTGATCCTGTGCTGTAGGCTGAGAGATGAAACTTTGGCTTCAGAGTAATGAATGTGGCTGGCCTTCCGATAGGCTTCGCGACTGGCACACTGGCCTTGCTTACCTGGCTTCGTGGCGATGGAGTTTGTTGGCGACCATCCGCATCTTTGTGTCCAATCCGACGATGGCAGTCTCCATGTCCTGCAGACTGCAACAGCAACAGGTCACACCGTGTCAGTTGAAGTAGGTCAGTGCTCTGTCACTGCTGTCAATGATGACGGTAGTCCAGACCGCAGCAACACCAAACAGCTCGGTGCCAATCGCCAGACAGTGCCACGGCTTTCGATAAAGTTGATTTGTTGTAATCAAAATAACTTCTTGACATTGCATGTGTGAAATAAGTCTCGGAACACTCCGAAAATCTCGACCACGTCCTTATCATAATCATCCCCCGGACAGACAGACAAGCATACAGACAGACAGACAGACAGACAGACAGACAGACAGATGAACACGCATGCAGACTGCAGAGAACAGTTCAGTAAACCCTCACACCTGCACTTTCTGTCCCGTTTTGACTGACGGAGTTTCTCTTTCTGCAGACTGGTACAGCAGCACGTTTGACCGGTCTGACACGGGAAGCAGTGTGTCGAAACAAAGACCCGGGGTCAACGGTCAGTGTAACGCCCAGCAACGGGCGCAGCCGGTCTCTCGGTTTGAGATAGAGATGGTGAATGATCTTGGTGGCCAGCAACTTGGAAGGGGCAGAGATTCGCTAAGTTGGAAAATGCAATGTATCTTCAGCCTGCTGTGTACCCCTGCCGGTTTGACGTTCTTTTTTAGCTATCGAAGGATAAATTGATGGCTTAGAGACCGATTTTAAAGGCAATTTTGAGGCACTTAATCGCCATTGTTTGTTAAACATGGAGTCCCTCGTCCAGCGCTCTGTATAGCGCGTGCCTTTGGCACTCACATCGGTCCCATTGACCACCTAGCTACAGATTCAAAGGTAGGTATGGTATTGTCAAATATTTTGGAATTGTGTTGATAGGTAACAGTCGCAATAGTCGTCTTGCACAATAGTCGCAATACGCACATGCAAAGTGAGGTAAAGACGTAAAGTGCGCCTAGACCTAACAAAAGGACTTCGCTTTAGTTGTGGAGCTCGACGCTCGCTAATCATGACAGACAGCCGTCATGATTTGCATAAACTTACATGATTTGCATAGACGGCTTGACGAACGGCTTGTTTATGTTCGGTGCAAATCCCTTCACATGAAGTGCGAGGATCAAGATATGAGCTTCCAAACAAAGATTACGACGAGACTAAACTTTCACAAAAATGCACACAAAAAAAAATGTGCATATGTGTCTCCGTCCAGTAACGGACAAATTTCCCGACTAAAGCGACGCAATGTTTCGTTTGCAGCCGTATAACGGGGAGTATAACAGTGGCGGATCCAGGGGGGGGGGGCAAAATGGGCATTTGCCCCCCCAAACGGCATGATTTTAACATTACGCCTATTAGTCAGGGGAAGGAGGCCCAATTTCGGGCCGAATAACGCAAAATTGGGTAGAGCTTAGCAAAGGGTGGTTTCTGGGACAAAAATGACCGCTGAACCCGAATCTGACCGGTGCACACCTCTAACTAATGTTGCACCACTTCCAGAGCACGTGCAACTGCGTGGTTCATCTTTTTTGGTTAATGGTACCTTTTTAATGAATTGCAGTGTAACGCTGTTGATATTTGAGATATTGTTTTGAGATTTTGTCCCTGTGCTAAAAACACATGGCGTAATTGGAAGCTGAAGTTTTGCAATGTTTGGACAGCCGATGACGTCACCGTGACGTCATTTACCTATAAATGAGTTGAAAAAGTCGTCTTGTCCTTAAAGCATTTAACTTTATTCCAGTCGTATGCAAATCAGAGAAGGGAAAATAATCAAACATGATCTATGAACATTTCTGAGTCGAATCATGCTAAAATCGTTTTCGCAGAGGTACATGTGAGTCACGTTGAGAACGTGACAGTCCAAGTCACCACCTGACAGATTTGGTCAAACTGGATGAAGTAGTACAGCAGATTGATAAATCACGTGAAACAGGATATCTTTATCTCATTTTTACCGTGTTCTGGCGCTGCGACGGCATTTAAATAAAAATGCTGTTGGCGTTGAATTGACTAAATATCGTTCCTTTGGTCTTATTTATAGTTCAAACTGTATATTTTTTTATTTATTTCAAGTAAATAACCATTCCTATGAATAACGGAAAGTCAGCGTGGGTTCAGCCTAGTCGTTACGCGCGTTTGGCAAGCGATAAAAAATGATCCAGAATTGTGCTTGTCATGAAGACTGGGAAAGAAAATAAACAGCTGTGGTTTATCAAAAGGGCAAAAATAACCTTTGTACGAAAGTGAAATATCTTGGATATTTGAGGAAAACAATCTAAGATCGAAGCGAGACCACACGATAGACGATGCAGGAACAAAACAGTACCTACAAAAATGATCTGACAACCGAATGCCTCCTCGTAAACCTGTTTTGCGTGAAGTGCATTTTCTTGGGACTACATTGCAAGTGAAAATTCATTTAACCCGCGCCCCGCTGGGGGGGGGGGGCAGAATCTGCCCCCCCCCCTCCCGTTTTTCGCCAATAACTTCTAAACGCGTTACGCCAGCGACGTCAAACTTTCAGTACCTTATCATACATCAATTTGACACGTTCCCTGAAAATGTGAGCGAAATCCTTTGGAATTTTTTTGAGAAATTGACGTTTTTGTGACGTCATGTTCGCCATTTTCGCCTCAAAAACGGCAAAATTTCAAACGCCGCTAACATCTTCATTTTTAAAGGAATCAAGACGCAACAAAAAAGGTTATACGTGATTCTACTTTGTCTATCAAATGGCTATCTCGGTTTTTTGAAAATTTTGGATTTTGGCCCAAATTTTTTCAAAAAACTGACTTTTTGGGGAAAATAATGATAAAATCGAAAATTTTTAATGTATCGAAAAAACCGGAATATATGTCAGAGCAGTAGTCCATGTGCACCTACATACCAATTTTTAGAAGCATCGGTTCAAAAATGTGGGAGTTATTCAAAATTTTATGACGTCACGACACACACAAATTTTGAAAAATGATTTTTTTGGAAGTTCTAGACCTCGTACGGAAACAAAAATAGCACCTTTCGATTCGCCGTGAAAAACTGCATCGGATAGACACCTTTTTAGGCCTAAACAACCAACTTCAAAATTTGACCTCACTTGACCTGACCTTGACCTGACCTCGACCTGAAATTCATCCAGAGGTGGTCCATATCACTTATTGAGTGTGCCTATTGAATTCTATGAGTAAAATGACCCATAAAACATGTGTCGCACATGCCCTTTTCTATATTTTGTTTTTGGTGACCTGACCTGACCTGACCTTGACCTTGACCTTTGAATGACATCGCATGCAACGAATATTGTCTTGGTAGTCTAAGAACACGTTTTGGGCAATCAGTCTCAGTCCATTCTTCGGCAACTACGGTGCAAGGCCGATACTGTAGAAACTTGCATTTTGTACCCTTGACCTGACCTTGACCTGACCTCTGACCTACTTAAGCAAAAAAATTTGGGCTCTTTAGGTCCGCCTTGTTGAGAGCTTTCGATTGCCGTTTTCCCCGTCTTTCTACGACCATCGGTTCGGAAGTTAGACAGGGGGGGCAGAATCTGCCCCCCCCCCCCCCCCAGCAGGGCGCGTATGGCTGAATAGCCCAGCGGGGCGCGGGTTAAGGAGCATGGATTCGTGATTACCCTATAAAGTTGAAGCTTGGCGACACCTTCAGCATGCATGCGGCTCGACACTATCAGATGCTCTTGGTGCACACATGGAACCGTTTTAGACAAAGCTGCAGATTGATGATGACGGGCACGACGAGCTGAATATGGAGCTCTCCCGACTCGCCCGTCTGAGTCCAAAAGAGATTGAATAGTACCAGCATGCGGCTGCTGGAGAAGGGAGAGCCGGAGCTGGCAGTACGGGCCAAGGAGCTGGCAGGCCGGGAGTACGGACGCCTGACGCGACTCCCTCCGGACGATCCCGCCCGGAAGCTCATTGATAAGACACCGCCACCTAGACTGCAGTACAGAGCCCACCTCCATTGGATGCGGAAGAAACAGGAAGCCCAGGAGGTGGGAAAGCCGGCGCCGTCGCCGCCAGATGAGGACGTTGCTGGCCTCCAGCATCGACCCTGTTTCCGACGAGTGGGGAAGTGGGTGTGTGAGGAAGCTGGACTGGGTGGAGTGCCCGTAGCCCCACTAACACTGCACCAGGGAGAACCGCCGTGGAAGCAGTACAACACCAACGTCCACTTCGGCTTGAAGCTTCCGAAACCTACCAAGAGGACTGACCCACCAGAATTACGGAAGGCTGCAACCCTGGAGGCCCTGGCCGTTTACCCAAATCCAGACCTCACAATCTGGTCTGATGGCTCTGCCCTAGACGGTACCTAGAAAGGCGGCGGAGGAGCCCTCCTCGAACTGCACCGTGAGGGGCGCAAGATCGAATGTACCGCACCGGCAGAAGTCGTATGCAGCAGCATGCAGGCGGAGCTGGCGGCGATGGCGGAGGCGTTAAAATGTTTCCTGGGACAGCCGGAGCCATCCCCCGCTGCCATTCGGTCTGTCCTGCTCTACTCGGACTCCCTGTCTGGCCTCCAACTGCTCAGCCGAGGCCCGGCAGCGCAGGAATCGGCCCTGACACGGCATCTGGGCTCTCCTGCACTCTGCCGCGGCCGGGGGCAGAGCTATCAGCCTCCAGTGGATCCCGGGCCACGCGGGGGTCGAGGGTAATGAAGAAGCGGACCGCCTAGCAAACATCGCGGCGACATCAGGCGACCAGCGTCGGATCCCAGTTGACCTGGCCTGTGCGCGCATCGCCATCAGACACTGAACCGGCCTGCTCACCCTCGATCACTCCAAGCACCACCCACATCTGGAGAACACCCCTGGCCACGACGACCTCGGCCGATGGGGACAGACCACTGTCTCGCAGATCCGCAGCGGCTGCTCACCCCTGGTCCGGGCCACACTCTTCAGGATTGGCCTGGCCACCAGCCCTCTCTGCGGACAGTGCGGCGAAGAGGACACGGTCGCGCACCTGCTATGCGAGTGCCCGGCCGCGCAAGAACGCGAACCCGGCTCTGGGGGCCGCTCCCCACCCTCTAGGATGTGCTCTCGGGGCCGGCTAAATACGTCACGGAGTTCCTCGATCGAGTGGGGTGGACCACGCCACCTGTGGACCAGCCCCGGTCTGCCGCGCCCTAGGTCACGACCGGCAGTGCGCGGAAGAAGAAGGGAGAGCCGGCTGACGCATCGGAACAGGCGCATCTATCCGAGTCCTGCGTCGAGAACAACCAGTCGCTCTGCTCCGTCGACCTGGCCGGCGACTTCCACTCGGGGGCAGATTGATGTTCCACCACTCCCTACCCATCGCCCATCGCGCTCCCATGGCTCAGCACTGGCTGCTGGCAGTGGCAGCACTGGCAGCACTGGCACTGGCAGGCAGTTCTGAGCAGTGCTGAGGGCAGGCAACACTGGCAGCAGCCAGTGCTGAGGCATGAGAGCCCGATGGGTAGGGAGTGGTGGAAATCCATCTGCCCCCGAGTGTACCGTCTGGTTGGCGTCGTACAACTTAACGGCGGTGCCAATCACTCGGGATACTACCTATGTGCGTACATATGCCGTGTACTGTACACTGTATAGAATGGGACGGAACATTTTGTACCATTACGACGAGACGCGTCCGCTGGATGGACGAGGCAGACGTCTTGGGCGAAGGCCACCGGCCAGGGTGCACAGAGTCACCGTGCCGGCGGCCGGCAGCCGAACGCCTCCCGATAATAGCCGTGCTAAAATATGTGTGTTCGCCTGTGCGTGTGTGTGTATAGTTACAGAAGAGATGAATCAAATTCTCTCCGGTTAGTTGTTGCGTGTTCTTCAATGCTCGGGTATGGGACGTCTAAGAACATGAATAACCACAAGACATTGATGAGAACTTGGGACATAACACATGTGAAACCCTCTGTGACGAAATTTACGCCCACCTTATTAGGTACGTATGCCAACGTAATAAACTAAAACTACGCCTGTTAGCACACATCTAATTCTAAAATCTCGCAAGCATACTGCATGCCTTACGAATGCTTTGCGGCGCCAATACATTTATGAACGACTTCTATACCTACCTTTGAATTTTGTCATGTGACGTCCTGAAAACGTCATCAGCATTTTTTTTTTTTAATTTAGTCCGAACCTTTTGATAGGAAGGATTCACAAGGACAGAGCCACCGCTAATTTTTCAGCTATAGCTTTTGATCAAACCACATAAGAGCAATGAAAGCATTTTCTATGCGATTATCTTGATAATCCAAAGCGATTGGTAAAGTACATGACCGATTCCAGTCAGGTCATAACCTTCACTAGCGTGATAATCGACCTGAGCTCATGAACTGCGGTAAAATATAATATTGACCAATCGAAGCCAATTTGCATACTATTCGATGCGTCTCGGTGAGAGAATCACAACGATGGTAAAATGGACGAAATGCAAGCATTGTATCAAAAGTTATTGCACAAAAACTATTTGGGGTAAAAACGCACACTCCGCGGATTTCGCCCCCTGTAGGCCAAAATGGTACCTCCATTCAGACGATTTTTACTTTTTGCAACGGCGAGATATTTTCTGAGCATGCTCAATGCATTTTAAACCCGTCAATGAGCGTATCCTGTAAATAAAGTTAAATGTTTTGTTGTCACACCTCATTTTCGCGTCAGTTTACGAATAAATGACGTCACAGTGACGTCATAGATTGTCTGCGATATGTGTTAACTAGGATTTTCATTTATGCAATGAATTTTGACTACAACATTAAAGTTTTGGAATACAACACAACTACACTATTAATTTTATTTTAAAATATATAAAAAGGGTACCATTCTTCAAAAAAGAAGATTCACGCAGTTGCACGTGCTCTGGAAGTGGTGCAACATTAGTTAGAGGTGCGCACCGGTCAGATTCGGGTTCAGCGGTCATTTTTGTCCCAGAAACCACCCTTTGCTAAGCTCTACCCAATTTTGCGTTATTCGGCCCGAAATTGGGCCTCCTTCCCCTGACTATATGGACGATGCATGGAAAGAGTCGATAAATGTTTATGGTTTGCCCCCCCCAAACCTCTGAGCTGGATCCGCCTCTGGAGTATAATGAGGTGAGTTTATTTTCGCATTGTTTTGCTGCTCATGAAAAGCGAAACAGCTTTTCTTTCAAGCGGATTAAAATAAGACATCAAGACAGGAACAGACTCTCTAAGAACTTTTTTTGAGAACATTTTCCTCCCGAAAACTAAAAGCCGAAGTGTGATTCCCCGTACGAATGACACCCCTATGTCTCCCTCTTGCTGCAAGGAAGAGGCCCCTGTACCCGCCCTCTTCCCGAGTTGCTGTTTATGCAGCCATATCCGGACGGGAGCGGAGATAAATATTTACCGTACTGCCACTGACCCTTTCAGGGAGGGTGAGAGAAAGACAGAGAGGTGTCTCCCCTCGCCCTGGCCCCCTGGCGCCCCTTCCCCGACTAATGGCCAGCTGACGTCTGTCAGAACTGATGGACCGGGTACGTGACGTCACAAAGACGGACTCCCCGAAAAACGTTCAAGAAAGATATGGTCTTTATGGAACGGTAATTGCTTCCGACAGCCCCATACAACTTCGAAGAGATGACCCATCAAGCTTGATACTACTGATGCTTAAAAACAGACTGTTTTCATGTGACTGAGGGCGGTCAGATGATGTCCGTTTGAATAACCTGTTGGCGCACCGCACAAGGAACTCTTGTAGCCGGCTGTTTTCACAGCTCATGTGCCAACAACAGCTGTTACGGCTTGCGAGCCAGGATCTGATGCCTTGTTCAACCTCAATTACCGAACTTCGATACCTAAATACCACTGACGCATCGAATGTCAACGTGATTCTCGTACCGCCGCGAACGCCGTAAAGGTAGGCAGGCCCGCAATGCACGGCCTGCGGAGGTAGGCAGACCCGCCGAACACAAAGGAGGCCAACGCGGTCAGGCGTGCTATTCCTACTGCCGTGGTAGGATAAATAGTGCATGAGGTATGTTTTATGATAATATCCGTTTACATGAATGACACTGAGATCGTGGATTGTTATTTGCATGTTCTTATTACTCTTACCGTCCCGGACTTTATTGGTAAACAGATCAGTCTCGTTCTAAACATTTGGATCGACGCATTGCTTATGGTAAAACCTCATGTAGTTATGACCCAATGTCTACTTCTGAATGTAGGCATGGCATTATCAAAACATGAAGAAATTAAAAACGTGGGCTCAAGCTCATGTAAACTCATAACTCTGAAACAAAAATGAATTATGAAGCACCCGCGTATATCTTAGTAAATAGATTGATATCTCGGTACTGACTTTCAGCCCGTCATCGGGTGCAACTGAAATATGTAAATGCGTTGGCCAATATTCAAAACAATTTTCTTATAAAAGAACCCGATGCATCTTTTAAATCGGAAAAGTTATAAAGATTTGTCGAAAAAAATAAAAGACAATTAACAACTCTATACATCAAAATATTATCAAATAAAAAGAACACAAGCTTCCTGCCCTCCCCTCCCCATCTCCGACCCTGGTCGGCCGACTGTCGGTGCCAGACAGACAGATGGAAGCGGTCTCATTTTCAACGACAAACGGACGCACGCATCCGGCAGGCTGATAAGGAAGGACCACATAGTGGACAGTTCCGTCCTGCCGTCCTAGCCACTTCGTGTACTTGTCTGTCCATGTGATTGTATGTTAGTTTGTGTCGGTTTGTGTCCATTCGATTGTCTGTTAGTGCCCCGGTTTATCGGTTTACTGGAGAGGGTGCACTGTCTGATCACACACCGGTTTGTTGTAGGTGCATGCTGGTTTGTTTTGAGTGTCGAGATGTAACGGGCGGTGTCAGTGATCGGTACTTACGAGGTCACAGCCGCTCCGCAGTGCAGCAGCGCGGCCAGCACCAGCAGTGAGCGCAGCATCTTGATTCAGTGGTGCCGAGACGTTGACCTGTGGGCAAAGGAAGTCAAGGTTATGTGGGATATACATAATAAAACTCATTACATAAAATGACGTGCATAAAACATTCGGGATGAAAATCACAAAGGACTGAAAATAACCGGCAGCTTATGGTTCAAGTTATGTCTGTCAAAAGTCAAACCATTCAGAAAACATGTGAACCAGAGGTCCATGGAGCAGAAGCCAAAATGAAGAAAATGACCGACACCTGCTCATAAGAATCGTGAGTGAGTAAGATGTAGCTATAAAATCATTTTCCTTGCTTTCTTATGTTTTTTACACTTTCCATGTCTATCGAAAGCAATGCTGAGTTTGCCGTTTAAAAATTTCGTGTTGCCATTAATTGTCTTTACTAAGAAATTAAGTTGGAGTGTTTTGAACGTCGACGGGCTAATTTAGCTAGAGACAGTGCTAATCTATTCAGTGTATTGCGCCATGCAGCCCTTCGCTTCATTAGGTATATGGAGGAGTATCGGCAAAATGCTGCATTTTTTTTGTTCTTTTATTTGTTCTTATCATTATAAACTAGCAAAGAAGTTAGCAATATTTTGCGACTATCATTTAGCTGAGAAACCAAAGTTAAATATCAAGAAAATAATGGCGTTTAAGCTTAATATTTACAAAGAAATATGAAGTGAAATGACTAGTAAATTTCTGAACTCGAATATACATTCTTGGACGATACCGCGAAAACGAAATATTTCTATCGAGAGTTTTCAAAGGATTTCATGCACGAGGCCTTGGCCGAGTGCATGAAATTCTTTGAAAACTCGAGATAGAAATATTTCGTCGCGGTTGGTCGCGGTAGAGTCCTAGATATTATTTCCTGTATGTTTCTTAATATCGCTCGTTATCTGCTTAAAAAAGGCCGAAATATGCATAAATAAAATACAATAACATTAACTACACGTTAGGTACTGAAATACTGGCAGTTCTAATTACTGAACAGTGCAGCAAAGCTTACAAATTTTCTTTAAAACAGAAGCCCTCGATGAAATCAAGCTATCCAAGAAAACCATCCAAGAAAACGTCTCGCGCAAAGTTTCTTGGATGGCTGGATTGCATTGCAAGACTGCATCAAACATACAGGAAATGCGGAAACTGCTGAAGAGTTTCTTCCTACAAATATTTTTATCTTAGACGGAAAAATGATGCTAGACTAACCTTGAAGTTGTGTCGTGCCGTCGGAGATCGTAGTAGATCTCAGCAATGCACCGCCTGTGCGTCCTGCTCGCGAGCGCTCAGCCGCGGAGTGACTCGACCGACCTCTTGTACCCCCACTACACCCGTGCAGCGGCATACACCCTCCGGCATAGAAATCCTGCACCACAGCGCGGCACAACCCGCCTCACACCGACTCCGACCCGGCGCCAGAGGCCGTACCGAGGCAAAAACAGCCGTCGTCCCCGCGCGTCGACGACATCAAAGGAGCCGCGGACGAGGCCGTCGGCGCCGACGGAAGGGGAGCGGCCGCTCTCCGTCTTTGTGAGGAAGGGTGGGGCGTGTTCCGCGGCGGTGACGAGGGAGGAGACCGCATCGCGGCACGTGCTGCTCATTGCGCGAGCTCCTCAGGCATGCTCCGAAATTTTCTGCTTTGTTTCTAGGAGATGCGTACGACGATTAAAACGGATGGCGGGAAGGAAGGAATCTAAATTAGTGTGCCTGATCGACGGCCAACAGGAAATGAAGATGTTTTTCACACTCCTGAATTAGCTAATAAAACAAATAACATGAATAAGAAGCGAACGTTTTGCAGCATGACTAAAAATAGATAAAACGTAAACAAATTGCAAAAGCTTCCAGGGACGTAGCCAAAGGGGGGGGGGCACGGGGGCCATGACCCCCCTCCCGAGGGCAAAAAATAAAATAAAATGAAATAAAATTGAAAAATAAAATAACTTAACACGCGCAGTGGAAGGGGGGGGGCGGATTTCGCCCACCCCTCCTGTTTTTCGCCAATAACTCGCGCCGCAAGCATAATATCAATGTGAAATTTCGGCTACCTGTCCAGAATTGAATTGCGGATCTTCTCGTGCAAGAAGTAAGAAAATCGGTTCACAACTTTTCTAGTAATAGCGGTGTAAAGTCAAACATCCTGCCGCCGCGGCGGCGCCGCGGCGCGGCGGCCGGCGCTAGCCGTTACGCGCCGCCTGAATTGTAGACTGTGCCGGGGCGGGACGGTTCCGTCTTTACATCGCGCTCCTTACCGCTGATTATATTAGATTTGCGTCAAATTCGGTGAGAAGACTGAGAAATGTACAGGCAATCATATGATCAAAGAATTTTGAAAATCGGCCGGTAACAACTTGAGTTATGAGTGTGTAAACACAAAATTGTGATTGCCGCGTTTCCCGCGTCGGCCGATGCCGCTTCAGCCGGCGACATCTTACCCTTAGCAGGCTTCTAACTGCCATATTTATTGTTGGATTATCTAGAAATTCTCTATAAATACTCACAAATGTTTGTTCTTTCGTATAGTGAAAGATTTTAAAAAATCGGCCGGTAACTTTTTGAGTTATCGGCGTGTAAACGCAAAAAAGTCGCTAATATGGTAGATTTGACCACATTTGACCTCATTTGACCTTGAAGATATTGACCTAGGGTCATGAAATTCACACACAACAGAGTTCCCCATGGCCCCCACCTACCCTCCAAATTTCGTTTTTCTAGGTCCAGTGGGAGCCGAGATCTTATGGGGGGGCGACATCCGCCCCCCCCCCCTTCCACTGGGCGTAGTACTCGCAACCCTTCCACTGCGCGTGTTAAAACAGCTGCACCACATCCCCAAAAATAGTGGGCCAAATCCGAGGAGTTTTCCTTTTTGGAAGGCGTGCGACACTAGGCCGCGACCTGTGGCCCCTCCCTGAGAAAAATCCTGGCTACGTGCCTGAAAGGTACGATGTTCAAAGCGTTAGCTACATAATTAAGTGAACCCCTTCCCATGGACAACTTGAGCCGCATGGCACCTAAAGCGTCAAGTGCTTAATTAGTTTTTTTTAACCCGCGAGTTGCTGGGGGGGGGGCGTTAAACGCCCCCACTTTTTTCGCCGGGCCATAGCATAAAAACGGCGCGCCGCAGGCGCGCCAAATTTTGGGTACCTGTAGGGAATTGATTGAAGTTTATTGTGCCAAAGTTTCAAAAAAATCGGTCGGAAAATTTTTGAAATATCGAGGTTTTAGTGACGTCATGATTTCTGAGTTTTCGACCAAAAACGGCTTATGTTAAAAAAATCATATAAAATCACAGAATAGACATACAGACATGCCGTAAACGCCATTAGACTGCCAATACCATGAACAATCAAATGGCTATCTTCGATTATTGATTATCGTTCTGAATTTTCCAAAATCTTGAACTGAATCTTGGCAATTTCTCGTGACCACTTCACGACCATGATACATGCATTTCTTAAATTGAACTTTTTGAGCCAAACACGTACACATATGATAAAATGAATGTCACCATCGTGTTCTACGCCCCAAATTACCCATATAACATGTGTCACAGGCTGCGAATATCAGTTTTGATTTTCGGGGATATGTGCCTACCCGGTTGACCTGACCTTGACCCTGACCTATGCTTGACTGACCCCTACATGGAGCTGACACTCTTGTAGGCTTTATATGATGGATTGTGCACGGTTTTGACAGAGTTTGTGACGAGAGGGGCCCATTGCAAAGTCCTGAAGTCTATGCTACTGAAAGCCCGATTTCAGGTGTTTGACCTGACCTTGACCCGACCTGTGACCTCAAAATTCAACTTTAAAGTACTCATCTGAAGCGTCTCGTCGCGGTCTTTCGTTTGCCGCCTCGTGCGTTTCGCTGCGCCTATTGGTTCTCGAGTTATCGGCTGGGGGCGTTTAACGCCCCCCCCCCCCCCCCAGCAAACGGTGGGTGGCGAAATACCCCAGCAACTGCCGGGTTAAACCAGCTTCGTACAAATACCTGATTCCTTCAGTGGCCAGGTTCACGCCGCCCCAGGCCGTGTCAAAACTGTCGCCTGATTCATCTGCGTCAGCGCTGCATATGTACCTATACTTATGTCGATTTATCCAAATAGCACATTGGTATCAAACGGTCACTTTTTGCGATTGCTCGGAACGTGCCGGCAATAGTGAGCTGAATGGTCGCACACTTGACTTTTAATTCCCGACAGATCTTGTGACGCCAACGGCATTTTCAGGTCAAGTCAGGTCACTGACCTTTGAAGTTAAAAGTGAGTCTCTACACGGTCCTAAAATGTCGCAGCACAACGGTCGCACTTCCCAGTGCCAAAGGCTCTTTCACAGGAGATGAAAATTACGGAAAATAGTAGCCTCCCAAGCCCTCACAACATCTTGAATTTCCGCTTAGTTAGTGCTACCCGATATCAGGACGATCAGACGATCATCACCTCACCATTATCAATCAATGGGAAAGCTGTTATTTGGGGGGGGGGGGTCACCGGAAATGATCTAGGACTATCACGTGGAATCGTGATTTTATGCACTTTTTGCGAGGTCCGATGCTCGAATTTTGTTACGTTGACTATAGCGACGTCATATATGACGTCCCTAAGGTCATCGGGGATTTTTGGCAATATCTCCCGATCAAATTGAGCTAGCAAGTCCGAACAGTCACCAGTGGACTCAGGATGACCTGCCGAATCAAATGCTATGCGATTTTACCTGCTTTGGCCAAAATCGTGACCTGAGAGGCTGTGACCTGACCTTGACCTGAGGTCAACAGTCAACACCCTAAGCTGACCAGTCCTAACCAAAAGGTATATTATTGGACGCGTCTGGTCATTAAAATCATGACAGGGCGTATTTTAACATGTTAACTGGGTCGGCAATTGCCGACCCAGTCACGGAGAATGCCGACCCAGTGACAGCCGTTTGCCGACCCAGTTGCCGCCCCCTCTAGGATGCAGCACGCACATGCAGGCTAGTTGCCTTCATTCATAGTGAGGCTGCTGCCCTCCGAAATGATAATGCCGCCTCTTAAAGTGAAGCAGCCGTCTATAGAAAGTGATGATCCCGCAACTCAATGTGACAGTGCCGCCCCTAAACCTGTTAGTAGCCCCACTCAATGTAATGGTGCCGCCCTTCTAAGCATCTATGGAGCCCCTCAATGTGATGATACCGCCCCACAAGAAGATGATGCCGCCCCTTTCGGTATCGGTGGCGCCCCTCAATGTGATGGTGCCGCCCTCAAAGTGCCGTTGGCGCCCCTGAATGTGATGGTGCTGCCCGCCAACGAGTCGGTGGCGCCCCTCAAAATGATGCTGCCGCCCCTTAAAGTGTTAGTGCCGCCCCTGATGGTGTCAGTGACGCTCTTCGAAGTGTCAGAGGAACCCACCAATATAATGGTGCCGCCCCTCTAGGTATCCACATAGCCCCTCATTGTGATGGAGCTGCCCCTCAAGCAGATGATGCCGCCCCTCAAGAAGATGATGCCGCCCCTTTCAGTATCGGTGGCGCCCCTCAATGTGATGATGCCTCCCTCAAAGTGCCAGTGACGCCCCTAAATGTGATGGTGTCTTCTGTCAACGAGTCGGTGGCGGCCTTCAAAATGATGCTGCCGCCCCTAAAAGTGCTGGTGCCGCCCCTTACAGTGTCAGTGGCGCCCTTCAGAGTTTTGGAGGAACTAATCAATACAATGTTGCCGCCCTCTAACTTTCTGTAGCGTCCCTCCATATACATACATAATGGTGCCGCTTCTCAAACCATCCGAGACGCCCCTCAAAGTGATGGTGCCGCCCCTTACAGTGTCGGTGGTGTCTCCTCAAAAGTCAAGGCGCCGCCTCTCAAAGATATACTGGTGTCCCTCGAATTGTCGGAGGCGCTCCTCAATGTCATGTTGCCGCCCCTAAAACCTTCCGTAACGCCCCTCCACGTCATGGTGCCGCCCCCCAATATGCTCACGGCGCCCTTAAATGTGATAGAAGCGCCGGTCAAAGTGATGACTGTGCTCCTGGCAGTGTCGGTGGCGCCCCTTATAGCGTCGATGGCGCCCCGAACAGTATCGGTGGTGCCCTTCAAAGTGATGATGTCACCCTCAAGGCTCAAACAAAGGGTGGCGCCCTTCGAAGTATCGGAGTTCCTAAATATCATACCTATTGCCGCCCATTAACGATCTGTAGCGCCCCTCCATATGATGGAGCCGCCCCTTAACCCGGCAGTTGCTGGGGTATTTCGCCACCCACCGTTTGCTGGGGGGAGGGGGGGGGGGCGTTAAACGCCCCCAGCCGATAACTGGAGAACCAATAGGCGCAGCGAACTGCACGAGGCGGCAAACGAAAAAACGCGACGAGAAGCTTCAGCTGAGTACTTTAAAGTTGAATTTTGAAGTCACAGATCGGGTCAAGGTCAGGTTAAACACCTAAAATCGGGCTTTCAGTAGCATGGACTTCAGGACTTCGCAATGGGCGCCTCTCGTCATAAACTCTGTCAAAACGGTGCACAAGCCATCAAATAAGGTCTACAAGAGTGTCAGCTCCATGTAGGGGTCAGTCAAGCATAGGTCAGGGTCAAGGTCAGGTCAACCGGGT